TTGAGAGTAAAAAGTAAAGAATTTATGGCTGTCTTTTTTTAAAAGTATTTCTGGATACGAGGTTCAAAAAAACTAAAACTGTTTTTCTTTGTAATATAAAAAATGAAATTGATCTTTCCAGGGTCAGAGATGATTAATGTTTTTGCTATATACTTTTATACATTATTTTATCAAATTAGTTAACAAGTATTTTTATTATATGTCTGTAAGCAGCTATGCTTTCACAGCATACCATGTGCATACGTAAAGTATTTAATTCTCACTGTTCACTTTGAACTGACAAAGAAAAAAAGCAAAAACTACAGAAACTATGGTAGAATTTGACTTGCTGTTCTAGTCCTGGTTGTACCGACCTTTGGCCATTCACACAGCTACTTAAGAAACCTTCCCAGTAGAGTACACCAGGATGAGGATCTGAAATCACTTGAACCTCCCTACTAGATATGGACTGTATATCAAGTAATATGTGTAAAACTTTAAATTGACAATTAGTATAACTGTGAATGGCTTCTGATTTTGTTTTTAATTCTGTGGATTATGTTTAAACAAATCAAAAGTATGTTCCTGATTTTGAGATACCAAGTGGTATTACATAGTTGTCACTTTATTGAACATGTACAACAGTCCTATGAGGTTTATAAAGCGTATCCTTGTATAGCTTCAGGTGCTAGAATTAAAATTGATCTGTTATATTACAAAAAACCCTGTAACCTCTCAGCAAAGTGGGGATAGAGGGAACATACCTCAACATAATAAAGGCCATATGTGACAAACCCAAAGCCAACATCATATTCAGTGGGCAAAAACTAAGATTGGGAATAAGATATGGATTTCCACTTTCACCACTCTTGTTCAACATAGTACTGAAAGTCCTAGCTAGCTACAGCTATCAGACAAGGAGAAGAATTAAAGACATCCAAATTGGGAAGGAGGAAGTAAAACTCATTATTCACAGATGATACATTGTACATAGAAGTCCCTACAGAATCCACTAAAAAACTACTAGTTAATAAATGAATTCAGTAAAGTAGCATGATATAAAATAAATATCCAAAAATCAGTTGCTTTTTTTTAAATTCTCACCCAAGGTCACTTTTTCATTTGTCTTCAGATAGAGTGGGAGGAGGAAGGGGAGAGAGAAAGAGAGAGAAACATTGATGTGAGAGAGGCACATCGACTGGTTGCCTCCCGCACGACCCCGACCAGGGTTGGGGACTGAACCACAACCAAAGTATGTGCCCTTGACTGGAATCAAGCCCACAGCTCTGGTCCACGGTCCACCACTCAACTGCTGAGCCAAACCAGCTAGGGCCAGTTGCATTTTTACACGTCAATACTGAACTGTTAGAGTAATAGAAAACAATCACATTCACAGTTGCTTAAAAAACAAATGCCTAGTAATAAATTTAACCAAGGAGGTAAAAGATTTGTGCTTGAAAAATTATAAGACAGAGAAGTGGAAGCATATCTCGTGTTCATGGATAGGAAGAATCAACATCATTAAAATGTCCATACTATCCAACGCAATCTAGAGGTTCACTGCAATTCCTATTAAGACACCAATGGCAAATTTCACAGAACTAGAACAAATATTCCAAAAATTTATATGAAACCACAAAAGACCTCTTATAGCCACAGCAATCTTGAGGAAGAAGAACAAAATTGGAGGATTCATGGTACCCAATATCAAACTATACTACAAGGCCATAGAAATCAAAACAGTATGGGACTGGCATAAAAACAGACATCTAGATTGGTGGAATAGAATAGAGAGCCCAGAAATAAATCCACACCTCCATAGTAAGTTAATATTTGAGAAAAGGGGCAAAGATATACAATGGGGTAAAGGTAGTCTTATTTAATAAATGGTGTTGGGAAAATTGGACAGATATATGCAAAAAATGAAACTAGACCGCCTTCTTACATGCACACAAGAATAAGCTCAAAATTAATTAAAGACTTAAATGTTAGACTCAAAACATTAAAATCCTAGAAAACATAAGCAGTAAAATCTTGGACATTTCTCATAGCAATTTTTTTTCTTATATATCTCCTTGGGCAAGGGAAACAAAAGAAAAATTAAACAAATGGGACTACATCAAACTAAAAAGTTTTTCGCAGCAAAGTAAACCATCAATCAAATAAAAAGACAGCCCACTGAATGGGAGACCATATTTGCCAGTGATACATCTGATAAAGTGGTAATATCCAAAATTTATAAAGAACTGATAAAACTCGCCCTGGCCAGTTTGGCTCAGTGGTCGAGCATTGGCCTGCGAACCAGAGAGTCCCGGGTTCGGTTCCTGCTAGGGGCACGTACCACAAAAACAAACAAACAAAAAAACAACAAAGAACTGATAAAACTCAACACCTTAAACAAACAATCCGATTTAAAAATGGGCAAAAGAGCCCTGGCCGGTTTGGCTCAGTGATTAGAGTGTCGGCCTGTGGTCCAGAGAGACCCGGGTTCGGTTTCCACTAAGGGCATGTACTTCGGTTGCAGTTTGTCCCCAGCCCTGGTTGGGTCGTGCGGATAGCAGCCACTCGATGTGTCCCTTTCACGTCGATATCTCTCTCTCTCTCTCTTCCTCTCTCTCCCTCCTGCTCTGTCTGAATAAAAAATGGAAAAATGTCCTCAGGTGAGGATATGTGTGTGTGTGTGTGTGTGTATATAAAATGGGCAAAAGACCGGAATAGACACTTCTCCAAAGAGGACATACAGATAGATGGCCAATAGACTTATGAAAAGATGCTTAACATCACTAATCATCAGAGAAATGCAAATTAAAACCACAATGAGGTATCACCTCACACCTGTCAGAATGGCTATCATCAGTAAGTCAACAAACAAGTGTTGGTGAGGATGTGGAGAAAAGGGACCCAATGCAGATTGGTGCAACCACTGTGGAAAACAGTATAGAGTTTCCTGAAAAAAATTAAAAAAGGAACTGCCTTATGACCCAGTGATTCCACTTCTAGGAACATATCCAAAGAAACCCAAAACACTGATTCTAAAGAATATATGCACCCCTATGTCATTGTAGTACTATTTACAATAGCCAAGATTTGGAAGCAGCCCAAGTGCCCATCAGTAGGTTAGTGGATAAAATAGCTGTAGTACATTTACACAATGGAATACTGTTGGCCTTAAAAAGAAGGAAAGCTTACCCTTTGTAACAGCATGGATGGACCTGGAGAGAATTATGCTAACTGAAATAAGCCAGTCGGAGATAGACAAGTACCATATGATTTCACTCATGTGGAATCTAATGAACAAAATAAACTAACGAACAAAATAGAAATAGATTCATAGAGACAGAGAACAGACTGACAGCTGTCAGAGGGGAGGTGGGTTTCAGGACTTGGTGAAGGAAGTGAGGGATTAATAAAAAAGAGAGAAGTCATAGACATAGACAGTGGTGTGGTAATTGCCAGAGGGAAAGGGGGGTAAGGGGAGGTAGAAGAAGGGGGGGGATAAAATTTTATTAACCAGTTTCACCCCAATACATTCAATAAAAAAGATAAAAAATTTTTAAAAAATAAAGTTGCATTGAACACAGGAAGCTTCAATAATAATATTTTCTTAGGAATATGATAGCAGTTGGTGAATACAACTTACTATGTGAATTATTACGTAAGTTTTATTAATTGACAATCTGGGTGGAAAACCTAGAAGGTCCCATTTAAAATAATAGGTTTCTATTATGTCTGAAATTATAAACATTATATAATTACTGGGAGTTTAAAAAAAAAAGGCTGTGCTACATTTACACAGTGGAATACTACCTGGCCATAAAAAAGGAGTAAATCTTACCTTTTGCAACAGCATGGATGGACCTGGCGAGTATTATGCTAAGTGAAATAAGCTAGTCAAAGAAATATAAGTACTATATGATTTCACTTATATATGGAATCTTATGAACACAATAATCAACAAAATAGAGAGAGACAGGCTCATAGATACAGAGAACAGAGGCATTGAGGGGCTGGGTCAAAAATGTGAAGGGATTAAGAAAAAATAATTAAGCTCCTAGACACAACAGTATGGTGATCACTAGAGGTAACGGGTTAGAGAGAGGTAGAAGAGGGTAAAGGGGGGGTAAATGGTGGTGGAAGGAGATTTTACTTGGGGTGGTGAACACAATACAATATACAGATAATGTATTATATAATTGTACACCTGAAACCTATATAATTTTTTTAGCCAATGTTACCCCAATGAATTCAATAACAATAAGTTTTTAAAAAAGATTAAATAAAGCTGTTTAACAAAGTTTCCCAAATTAATTTAACCACCAAACCTCTCCCCCCACTTTTTTTTTTTTTGCTTAACTGTTAAAAAGCTGCAGAACATAGAGTCTGTGGGGAGTGTTTTGGGAAATACTGTACTTGAGTGTTCAAATAATTTAATCTGGATTTTGGACAGTTAAGATTTAGAATTAAATGCCTCAAAAGATGTTATACCTGCCAGGGTACAGGTGGAAAAAAAACCTCAAGCGTGAATGCTTACTGCTGTTATCCTCAGTATATCTGGGCAAGAGTAAGTCAATATGTGAGTACTTTATTCGTGAATATTTGGAAGCTTATTGTGTATGAAAAATATCTAAGACCAGCAGTAATTGGCTATAAGTTAGTTGGACACTATGGAAGATTAATGACTTGAGACCTTAAGCTATCTCTGCAGAATAGTGTTTTCTTATAATTAATATATATGTTATTAAAACACCAGAGAATTATATACAGTCGGCCCTCGTTTATCACAGTTAATCAGTTCCAGACTCTATCATGATAAATGAATTTCTGTGAAGTAGGAATCCTTATTTCAAATACTATACTATATTATAGTATATTTGAAAAAACCGCGAGAGTGAAGCTGTGAAAAGTCAAAGCGCGAAGTGGCGAGGGACGACTGTATATAGATATAAATATAAAAAATAGCTTTTGCTAAAAAGCAGATTCATAACTTATAATATGACTCAAAAAAAATTTTTTTTTCTTAGTGATGCAATATGGGAAAGGCAAGTCATGTTATTACAGGTTCCTGACCAAAGGACAGCAGTGGATTTGGCTTCAAACTCATTACTATATCACTTATCACCAGTGGAATTCAAGGCCAGAGTTTATTGTTTGTACTCACACTGTAGTAAGGTAAATTATTTTACAAAATTTCTGAGCTATAGAAATATCCATAATGATATCGACAGTCAAATTTGTATGCATGACTTGTTAATGAACTATTAAGTGATTTTTTTCTTATTGATACACAGTTTCAATATATTATTAAATCTCCTTATTATATAGAAATAGAATGCAGGTATATATAGATATATAATTCTTGACATACATTGTGTGGTTTAAAGCAGAAATTGTAACTGTCTTTTATGTACCAAAGTCAATTACATGAAAGGAAAACTGGAGTAGACAAACATATTCTTCCGTTAATATCTCTGAATTTAAGAACTGTGCATTTACAGATCATTTTTATTACATACCTAGAAAATTTAATTTGAGATGCCTAGAAAAATGCAGTTTGAATTAAGATACTGTACACAGTCTTTTGATTGTACATATGTCGTAGGTTTGTGTAGTGCATGGAACATAGTCTGGAATTAGAAATGAGCAAGGAAGACACATAGCAAAAACTGAATGGGTATACCTCTGCAGTATTTTAAATGAATGACCAAACACTAAACTTCTGTTTTTTTCATTTGTAGTTATGCAGAAGTTAGGGCTGAAAGACGACGAGAACTTGGCATTGAAGAGTCTCTTCCTGAGACAGCTGCTGACAAAGTATGTATATTACAGTTTAAAAAAGTTATTTCTTTGCAATGAAAGACAAGACTCAGTAATTTATAGGAAAGTTATTTTTTAAAGATTTTATTTTCTCACTTGTGACAGGGCTATACATTTTTAATATAATATTTTAAAACTTGATCTGCTTCTAAAAAGGATTTGAAGAGTTCACTGTTCAGTGATAATGGGATGAGAGACATGTATGATCTCAGATTTAAACTATCATTTATTAATTGCCTATAATATGTTAAGCTCTGAAGAGGTTCTTTATATGAATTACAAAATATCTTTTACTCCTCAGACATCCTTACCTAGTAGGCAGTATCCCCACTTTGAAAATATTGAAATGGAGGCTTTAAAGACACCTGGCTGGGAAATTATAGTCAGAATTTGAACTCTGGTTTCTCTTTTCATTATATCATTTAGAAGGGTAGTGTGTTAGTTACCTATGGCTGTGTAACAAAACTTAATGATGTAATATAGCAGTTATTAACTCATTGTTTCTATGATTAAGAATCCAGGCACAGTTTAGTTGGGACCTCTGGTTCAGAATTGGTTATGAGGCTGCAGGCAGGGTGTCAAGTCCATGGTCTCCTACAAAACTGTGATCAAGGTGTCCATGGGGGCCAGTTATCTCAAGATTCAATTGGGGCAGAATCTGTTTCCAGGCTCACTTTAGTTGTTGGAAGGATTTGATTCCTCCTGGGCCTTTGGATGGAGGGCCTTGATTGCTTGATGACTGATGGCCAGAGGTCACCCTCAGTTCCTTTCCAGGTGGCCCTTTTCATCAAAGCAAGTATGCAAGAAGATCCAGGGAGAGAAAACCACCAAGATGAAAAGCAGAATCTTTTGTAACCTAATCACAGAAGTGATAATGCATCACTTTTATTAATTCTGTACATGAGAAGCAAATTACCAGGTCTAGTCTACACTCAAGGGGAGGGATCACACAAGGGAGTAAACACCACCAGGAGGTAGGAATCGTCATGAGGCATGTCAGAAGCTGCCACACGTATTTTTGACTTGTAGAAAACAAGTAGAATGAGAAGAGTCAAGAGTCCATATAAAAAGTATGTTAAACAGGCAGGATGCCAGGGGACAATGGGGGGGGGGGTATTGATCAGTCATTCAGTAAACCTTATTAAGTACCGTCCATGTGCCAGACAGTACCTGGCATGGCTCTAGATGCTAAGAATTCAGCAGTAAATAACAGACAAGTTCTCTGCTGTCATGGATCCCACAGGAAAGAATGTTTCAAGGAAGTGTTGTATATGTACAGGAAGAACATTTAGTATGTTTTAATAAAAGAAATTTTCTGAGAAAAGTGCCTTACATCTAGGATTCCTTAAAATGAGGACCATTATAGAAACTAAAGAATACAGATTGCCCCCCTCCCCCTTGCTGCTGCTTTTGCCCTCATGCCAGTGTTCAATCCTAGTAAATTCAGTTAGTGCTACTTCCAAAATATACGCCAACTGTCCACTTTCTCACCATGTTTACTGTTGCCACCATGATCCACTGGGAGTTTAAGGGAGAGGTCCATTTGAGATAGATTGTTAAGAACTTTTATTGTGTGGCTGGTTTTAAAGTCATGAGTGTAAATGTGATCACCAGGGGAATGGTTGGAGAGATGACAGCCAAATACTAAACATTAATGTTGGTGCGCTCCAACTTTAGGAGGTGAGGGAGACAAGGAAATAGCCAGTGAGGTAGGAATAAAACCAATGTTAAGTGTACAGTTCAGTGGCATTAAGTACATTCACACTGGTGTGCAAGCCATCATCACCATTCATCACCAAAACTTTTTCATCTTCCCAAACTGAAATTTCGTATCCTACCCATTAAATATTAATTCCTATTTCCTCCTCTTTCAAGGTCCTGGTGACTACCAGTCTATTTTCTGACTCTCTTAATTTGATTCCCAGAGGTACCGCATACAAGTGGACTCATACAATAATTGTCCTCATGTGACTGGCTTATTTGACTTGGCATAATGTCCTCAAGGTTTATCCATGTTGTAGTATATGACAGAATTTCCTGAATAATATTTTGTGTGTATATGCCACATTTTTGTTATCCACTTATCCTTCATTGGATACTTAGGTTGTATTCATCTTTTGGCTATTTTGACTAGTACTGCTATGAACATGGGTGTACGAATATCTGTTTGAGCCCCTGCTTTCAATGTTTTGAGCTTGTACTCAGAAATAGAATTGTTGGATCATATAGTAATTCTATGTTTAATTGTTTAAACAACCATCTATTGTTTTTCATAGTAGCTACATTATTTTACATTTCCATTAGCAGTGCATAAGAGTTCCAATTTCTATATTCTTACTAACACTGGTTATTTTCTGTGTTTTTTGTTTTTGTTTTTCTCTTACAATGGATGGATGTGAAGTAGTATCTCATTGTGGTTTTGATTTATATTTTCCCAATGATTGTTGATATTGAGCATCTTTTCATGTGTTTATTGACCATTTGTTTATCTTTGGAGAAATATCTGCAAAATCTTTGCTAGTTTTTTAACTGGATTGGGGATTTGTTTTTTGTTTTTTTTTCTGTTGTATTGTAGAGGTTTTTTTTTTTATATGTTCTAGGTACTAATTTATTATCAGCTATATGATTTGCAAATGTTTTGTCTCATTCCATGGGTTGCCTTTCCACTCTGGTATACTGTCCTCTGATGCACTTTTGTTGTTTGTGCATTTACTGTCATCCAAGAAATTATTGCCCAATCCAATGTCATAAAGCTTTTCTCTTTCTGAAAGTTTTATAGTTTTTAGGTCTTTGATCTATTTGAGTTAGCTTTTGTATATGGTATATGGTAAGAGTCCACCCTCATTCTTCTGTATCTGTTGTTTCTTTAAATTGAGAATAAAGCCAAAACCTTTTGGCTATAAAAAATAAATTTTTGTTTCTTTACCTAATATATACACACATAGCATTGCTTTGTTATGAGTAAAAACTGACTTTTGGGAAGAGGGGTTAGTAAGCAATACTGATAATTTGGGGTCTCTGAACTGAACCACAAGAAAATATTTATTTTACTCTTTTTCCTTAGAGCCAAGATTCTGGGTCTGATAACCGTATAAACACAGTCAGTCTCAAGGAAGCGTTGGAAAGGTTTGATCATAGCCCAACCCCTTCTGCTTCCTCCCGGAGTTCAAGAAAATCATCTCACACAGCAGTCTCAGACCCATCCTGTGAGTACTCTAGCTTCAAAGCAGACTTCCTTTAATAAAGAAAGTGTTTCTAAATTTTGTTACTGGTATCAGCATTTTTAATCAAATGCTACTTTAAAATAAATTTTACATTTCTGAAATCTATTAAACTTTCCAGTAAGAGGAACGTTGTTTACATTTAGCAAAAAATTAAGTTGATGAAGAAGCCTATAAAATATATAGGTGGTAAATGTTAGTATTGTTTTTAATAATCCTTCAAAAAGAAAGCAAGATTACTTATTCCTTTTTTTTTCTTTCTTTTTTTAATCCTCGCTTGAGGACATTTTTGCATTTATCTTCAGATAGAGGGAAGAAGAGAGAGAGAAACATTGACATGAGAGAGACACATCGAGCGGTTGCCACCCACACAACCCCAATTGGGTCCGGGGACAAACTGCAACCGAGGTACATGCCCTTAGTGGGAACTGAACCCAGGACTCTCTGGTCCATGGGCCGACGTTCTAACTGCTGAGCCAAACTGGCCAGGGCTTCTTTTTTTTTTTTTTTTTTTTACTGGTAGAGCCAGTAAGTATCTTTTAAGTTTGCTTTTGAAAAAAATTTTTTTAATATGTTTTCATTGACTTTTAGAGAAAGGGGGAGAGAGAAACATTCATGTGAGAGAGACACATCTGTCAGCTGCCTCCTGCATGCCCCCTCCTGGGGATCGAGCCTGCAACCCAGGCACGTGCCCTGACTGGGAATTGAACCCAGACCTCTCAGTCCATGAGACGACGCTCAATCCACTGAGCCATACCAGCTGGGCTGAAAGGTTTTTTTTGTTTGTTTGTTTTATTTTTTTTTTATCCTCACCCGAGGACATTTTTCCATTTTTTGTACAGATAGAGTGGGATGGAGAGAGAGGAAGAGAGAGAGAGAGAGAGAAACATCGACGAGAAAGGGACACATCGAATGGCTGCCACCCGCACGACCATCCAGGGCCAGGACAAACTGCAACCGAGGTACGTGCCCTTAGCGGGAACCGAACCCGGGTCTCTCCGGACCGCAGGCCGACGCTCTAACCGCTGAGCAAAACTGGCCAGGGCTGAAAGGTTTTTTTTTTTTTTTTATTGATTAATTTTTGTTACAAATGATTCTCCTTTTTCCCCCCAGTGGCTCCCCCCTCCCCCTTCCCTCCCTGCCCCTTCCCCCGATTGTTGTCCATGTCCACTGTTCATGCCTATATGCATATAAATTCTGTTGTTCATCCCTCTCTCAGCTCCCCACTCCTTAGGGGATTGTCCTCAAACTGTTATGTTCATTATATTCCAGAAATCAGTGAGATCATATGAAATTTGTCTTTCTGCTTGGCTTGTTTCACTTAGGATGATACTTTCCAGGTCCCTCCATGTAGTCTCAAAGGATAAGAGATCTTTCTTTCTTACCGCTGCGTAGTACTCCATTGTGTATATGTACCACAGCTTTTTAATCCATTCGTCTACTGATGGGCACTTGGGCTGTTTCCAGATCTTAGCGATTGTAAATAGTGCTGCTACAAAGATGGGGGTACATATATTCTTTCTGATTGGTGTCTGAAAGGTTTTTTTTAAAGAGTCTTGTCTTTATGAAGACTTGCATTATTGTCATTAAATGTCTTTTTTTAAAGAATAACTTTCATTTCTCAGGGTTTTAAAACTGTATATACTAGTAAGGAGAAAAAAGATGGTGAACTACTCAACATTGTGGGTAGAACATCAGAAGTTGAACATAGGATTTCTAAAATTTTAGAAGAAAATTTTCCCCTATAACTGTTTCTTTTTAAACGTTTTTTAAATTTTATTGTGGTAAGAACACTTAAAATGAGATCTACCCTATTAAAGTTTTTAGTGTATAATATTGTTGACTATAGGTACAGTGTTGTACTGCAGATCTCTAGAGCTTATTCACTGTGCTTACCTGTAACTTTATGCCCGTTGATTCGTAACTCTCTCCGCTCTCCCCTCTGCCCAGTCCTTGGCAGTCACCATTCTCTTTGATTCAAAAGATTTGACTGTTTTAGATACCTTAGATAATGGAGTAACGCACTCCTTGTCTTTCTGTCATTGGTCTGTTTCACTCAGCCTGATGTCCTCAAGGTTCATCCAATTGTTGCATCTTGTAGAATTTTTCTTCTTTTAAAAGATCGAATAGTATTCCATTGTTTGCTTATGCAGGGGTTGGCAAAAATAGATTTACAGTTGTGAGTACACAAAACACAGTTTATTTTTATATTATTATTTATTAATTATTGTATTATTTTCTATATGAACAATGGTAAGCCTACTTTTGCCTACTGCTGTCTTATACCACATTTTGCTTATCCATTCATCTGTCAGTGGACAATTAGCTTGGCTATTGTGTATAGTGCTGCAGCGAACTCAGGAGTACTAATATCTCTTTGAGATCCTGGTTTTGATTATTTTGGATAAATACAAGGGGATTTGCTGGATCATATATGGTAGTTCTGTTATTATTTTTTGCAAAACCTCCATGCTTTTTTCCAAAATGGCTGCATTGTTTTGTATCCCTGCTGACAGGATGCAAGAATTCTAGTTCCTTCACATTCTTGCAAACACTTGCCTTTGGTTTGTTTTGATAATAGCCATCCTGACAGGTGTGAGATGGTATCTTATTGTGGTTTTTATTTGCATTTCTCTGATGATTTGTGATATTGTGCATCTTTTCATATTCCAGTTTATCTTCTGTATGTCTTCTTTAGAGAAATGTCTATTCAATTTCTTAGCCCATTTTTTAGTTCAACTTTAGTTTATATGTTACTATTGAGTTGTAGGAGTTGTAATCATTATTATATGTGAAGTTTTTCTATTTCAAAACCTTTCTTTGTCTTTAAAGAATTTAAAAGAATTGTCTTATTGTCGTAGACTTAACTTTTATTGAATAATTTAGAAAAAGAACTCAAAAACCTTATTTTTATTCACTGAAATGCATTTTAAGATTCATTTTGAAAACTGTATTTTATGAAGTACTAATACTGTTCTGTTTTTGTTGATTCGTCTCAGCAACACCAACAAAGATCCCAACGGATACTAGCACTCCTCCCAGACAGCATTTACCAGTTCATGAAAAGATGGCACAAAGGAGGTCATCATTTAGTAGTCAGGTAACTCTTAGTTAGTATGCTTCTGAATAAATATATTTTTTTTTTTATCCTCACCCAAGGACATTTTTCCATTTTTTTTGTTCAGATAGAGTGGGAGGGAGAGAGAGGAAGAGAGAGAGAGAGAGAAACATCGACGTGAAAGGGACACATCAAGTGGCTGCCACCCACTCGACCAACCAGGGCCGGGGACAAACTGCAATCGAGGCACATGCCCACAGCGGGAACCGAACCCGGGTCTCTCTGGACCGCAGGCTGACTCTCTAACCGCTGAGCCAAACCGGCCAGGGCAATAAAGATTTTTTAAGAGAAAAAAATCATCGAAATTTTTAGAAATTCATTGGTTCATTATCCCTTTTTATAAAGATTAAAATAGTTGTTGGTATGTGACACTTACTCAAGGTCTTTCTTTTTTTGTGAAGTAGTTGTCAGACATATCAATCCTATAATTATTTTCAAGTAAAAAGTTAGATTTTCCTTTTTGTTATGAAAAGCTGATAATTTAGAGCCATTCTGTATCTGAGTTTAAATATCAATGACTTTCAAGTAAATCCAGTCAACTTTTTTTTTTGTTAATCCTTACCCAAAGATATTTTTCCGTTGATTTTAGACAGAATGGAAGGGGGTGGGGATCAATTGGTTGCCTCCCAAATGACCCCAATGAGGGTCAGGGATGAAACCTGTGACCCATCGGTCAGTGAGCCCACACTCTAACCACTGATCCAAACCTGCCAGGGCAAATCCAGTCAACTTTTATTTAGATCCCATGCATGGTAATGTGGCAGATGCCTTGGAAGATAAAAACATAAATAAGAAACAGGCATTTTTATTGTAGAGGGGAGACGTGCCTATATTCAGCTAAAAAAAAAAGTGTGAGGCAAATTGTAATTCACTTATAAAGATACTATGGTCATATTTCTGGTGGAAGTATTCATGTATGAGAACATTCGTCATTCCATTGTTGTTTTTATTTTGCTTCTAGTCAATAAATTCCCAGTCTATTGGTCAATCATTAACACAGCCAGTGATGTCGCAAGCCACAAATTTACCAGTTCCACAAGGCATGTCCCAGGTATTTTTGTTTGTTTCAGTTGAGTATTTTGAAATGATAAACTGTTTTAAGCTAATACAGATTTTAAAAATAGTCTTACAGATGCAGTAAATCTTAGCTGTAGACATTTAGAATATCTGGGGATATTTTTGATTGTCATTGTTTGGAGTTACCACTAGCCCTTAGTTTAGTAGGCAAGGGCCAGGGTTGCTAATTGTTTCAGGATGCACTACAGTTTTGCACAACAAAGAATTACTCTGCTTAATATGCTATAACACCTTCATTGAGAAACATTACAGAAAGATATTACAGATGAAATATAGCTGTTCATTTTGTTCTTCCAATGGATAGCGGAAGAATCAGCTAATTTTTATGTATTCATTCGTTTATATATAGAACATTTATTGAGTTTCTTGTACATTTCAGATACTGCAGTTGCTGGCAGTACAAAATATATAATATCTCTACTAAAAGACTTTCTTACAAAGATAGAGAATTACTATACAATACATAGTCTGTGCTCAAGCTATGTAGGCTGATACATGTGTACATGAGATGGATACTTAATGGAGCCTGAGGAAGTGAAGGAAAACTTTCTGGAAGAATTTTTGCTTAAGCGGAGTCCTAAAGGAAGCCTAAACATAGAAATTAGCAAGAGAAAGGAGAAGTATTACAAATGTGACAAGAAATTACTTTTGATTATAAGTTCCCAACTTGTAATTCATGACTCTGCGCAGTACCTCAGATACATTAAAAGTACTACTGAGTAGTAAAAATAATCCTAAATTTTTTGCTGTTTTGTTTGGTATTAAATATACCTTGACTTAACAGTGTCTCAATTTTAAATAACAGTAGTTAACAACAGATAAGAACAGTATTTTTCTAAAAATACCTTTGTCTTATATGGTTATTATTTAAATTATACATATGACACTTGTACAAATATATTGACAATGCATTAAATTTTCTAAATGTCATAATTTTGACTTTTAGCATTGTATGATCATGTAAGGTGTTATAACAGCATTGTATTAAATATTATATGTAGTTGTTAGTTTTTATCGAGTCCTCAAATGCTTTTATTCTGAAGGTTAATAGAATTTTTATGTGTTTAGACATACTTTCAGTATTATTAGTTTATTAATCTCAAGATATTAAATATGCAATTAACATTTTAAAGGGATATTTTCATGAAATAAAGAATATCTGTTATGTCAAAAATGTTAATAAGTATTCAAATCTCATTTTTCTTCAGTGGTAAAGACACTTTGCTGTGTTTTTATTTAGTCTGTTTCTGTTTTCTTATTTGTACTCAATAGAAGTTCTTTAAGTAGTGACAATCAAAAGGTATACATAATTTTACTTAAAGTATATTTGTATGACATCTGTCTATCTAGTATCTGTCTGTGTGTCTATCTATGTAATTTTGAATAATATTTAAAAAATAAAGGAATGAGGGAGCAGAGGTTCTAAACATACAGTATTTTCACACCAAATGTAACCTAATATATGATATGGTCTGGTTATTATTAACTTCAGAAGTCAGAGTTACATACTTTGAAAAGTAATATTCGATATCCTCAATACATACTTTGGAAGTTGAATAAAAGCTTTTGGGAGACATTTCTTAACCTTTAGATGCAGTTCACTCTAGAAAACTAAAGACTGAGACAGATTTCCAATAAAGTGAAATTCTTTCTGTTCTTATAATATATCCTGTGCTGAATATTCATGGGGAAAAAATGAGTGTAATTAAAATAATTAAGTGTAGACTTGAATCCCCAAACGTGGCTAAATTTCAGCAGTAGTAAATAGAAGCTGCTTATGACTCAGGTGAATCATAGAGAAATAAGTACAATCAAAAGCCCTGTTAATAGAATAACTTTTTTTCATTTATATATGTATGCATTCAGTTATAATTGCTTAGTCTTTAAAAGCTTGTGTTTTGTACTTAACCTAAGAACAGTTTCAGTTGAAAATATGAGAAAAATATTATGGCTTATTGTGATATTTTTGTAAGTTTCTAATGATGTGCACAAAATGGACATTCTAGGGATGTCAGAATTTGATATGAATAACTCTAGGTACAGGCTACTTTTTCACTTGTTAAAGGGTAGAAATGAAGTTAAGTAACTGTTCTAACGAGTGATAGAGCCACAATATGAGCTCATGTTTTTTAACATCACTGTGTACTTTTAATCAGCAATTCAGAAGTCAGAAATTTGAACAGGGGTAATATAAAACATTGTTAACTGGTCACAGGGATTAACTACTAAATTCTTAAAACTACAGGAGTAACAGATACAGAAAGCAGCCCTAACTATAGTGAAAGGGAGAGTACCCAAGGAAGAAGCAACTTGGAATACTCCCCCCAGCCCCCTAAATTTCTCCTCTTCCAGGCCAGGCTGAGATTCAGATCCCACTGGGGAGGTGTGGCTGTAGCCACTTAATGGTAGAGAGGTTTACTGAGGTGCCATGGACTAGGACTGGAGAGCAGGAAGCCACCTGCTGGGATGCCAGTAAAGTTTGCTGGGGAGCTGATCACTTGGATCCTAGTGAGACTTGCTGGAGAACCACCTGTTGGGGTGCTGATGAGACTCAACTAGGAAGCTACTCATTGGCAGAAGAACACCGGAACCAGAAAGATAAGGACATCCATTTGTAGTATCTCGTCAGTACCATAAACTGGCATGACTAAGTTTGTGCTTCTGGCAAAGGAGAAATATTTATAGATTCCAGCTCCAGTATGACAAAGCCAAGCAGAGATGGGTGTATTCACTGAGAGGCAATACAATGATAACTGGCTAACATTCTTAGCTCATGATATACTGCTTACTTTCCAAATTGCACAATTATGAGGAATAAGTAATTCTAAAATATCTAACACGTTTTCCATACATGGTACTTCAGTTTCAGTTTTCAGCACAATTAGGAGCCATGCAGCATCTGAAAGACCAATTGGAGCAACGGACACGAATGATAGAGGCAAATATTCATCGGCAACAGGAAGAACTAAGAAAAATTCAAGAACAACTTCAAATGGTCCATGGTCAAGGGCTGCAGGTAAGATGTTACTATATTTGATTTAAACAAAGCATGCCATTCACATTTTAATTTCTTAGTGAAATTGACTCGTCTTAATTAAAAGTGACATGCAAGATAAAAATTAAAAATCAATAAAAACATACATATTAAAAAAAACAACCCTGGCCGGTTTGGCTCAGCGGTTGGAACATCGGCCTGCGGACCAGAGAGTCCCAGGTTCGGTTCCCGCTAAGGGCACATACCAAAATTAAATAAATAAATAAATAAATAAATAAATAAATAAATAAATAAATGTGACATGCAAGAGAGGCTCTGGTCAAGATGACCACATCAAAATTACAACTAAATTATGAAACAGCCATCTTAGAGAACACCTGAAGTCTAGCTGAACATAAATCCTATAACTAAGAATAGACAGAAGAACCATGTTGAGAGTGGTAGAAGGGGTGGAGATGTGAAAGGGGTTGGTCCCACACCCACGTGTGGTGGTTGAGAATGTGCAGGGATGTCAGCTGCAGAGATTACCCCCTTAGGAGCAAAGGGTCCCAGCCCCATACCAGGCCCCCAGCCCAGGATTTCACTGTCAGGAAGAGAAGTTCCCATAACTTCTGACTGTGAAAACCAGCTGAGAATGTGGCTGAGTGAGCAGAGAGCTTCTGGAATCCCAGGCCTTCCTTTTATAGGGCCTGTGCACAGGTTCTCACTCCCTCTGAGCCTCAGTGCTCGGGCAGCAGCTCAAAAAATGCCAAGGACATACAAGGAGGAACTGAAATGTCTGGTTTCAGGGAGAGGGCTGGAGGGAAGGAGCCATTATTGTTTTGCTGAGCTCTCCCCCAGCAAGCACAGGCAGGCACCATATGTTGAGCCTCTATCAACCTGGCTGTCACTGTTCCCCTTGCCCTGGTGATTCCCTGAGACACCTCCCCACCCAAGCTGTTTTCAGTGGCTTTTCCATATTTAGATGGCCTATCTTAGCTCATGCTGTGGACTTTCCTAAAATCTCCTGGGAATCGCAAACCCCAGACAAGCAATCCCTGGCCTTGGCATGCCTCATACCTCTTGCTAAGCAGCCCTGAGCCCAACACTAGCAGCAGCTGGCCTCAGTTATCAGCTTAGCCTCTCCCAGGCAGTTCCAAACCCAGCATAAGTGGCAACCATCTACAGATCACTTTGTAGCTCATACCAAGTGGCCCTAGGCAGAGCATAGGCAGCAGCTGACCTTGGCCTGCAACCTGCCAAGAGGTTCCAGAACCAGTACACCTGGTGTCCAGCTTCAGTCCACACCAGAGCACCACCCAACCCCCTCCACAAATAACACTCAGATGGCAGACTTGGCAGCACCACAGCCCTCCTAAAGCGGATCCTGCTCCATAGGGTCAGCCCCTGCACAATAGCTACTCCACTGTAATCATGGCCAGTCCTCACAGTTAGCGTGAGGGTCAGTCCTTACCATTGAGGTGCCAACAGCAATCAAGGCAGCTACAACAGAAAGGCACACACAACCAACACATGGGACACACCTGGAGCACCCAGCTCAGGTTACCAGGGAGACTTACCACTGGGCCCCAAGGACACCTACTACATAAGGCCCCTCTACCAAGACGGAGATAATGTAGCAGCTCGACAAATAGAAACAAACACAGGGAGGCAGCAGAAATGAGGAGACAGAGAAATGTCCCAAATGAAAGAACAGAACAAAACTCCAGAAAAAGAACTGAACACAATGGAGACAAGCAGTCTACCAGGTACAGAGTTCGAAACATTGGTTATAAGAATGTGTGATCTCAGAGAGAACTTCAGCAGGGAGACAGGTGATATAAAAGGGGATAGAGCCCTGCCTGGGTGTCTCAGTTTGTTGGAGTATCACCTTGAATACCAGAAGGTTTTGAGTTCGATTCCCAGTCAGGGCACATACCTAGGTTGCAGGTTCGATCCTTGGTCAGGATGCATACAGGCAGCAACCAATGTCTGTCTATCTGTTTCTCTCTCTCCCTCTCTCACCTACTCTCCCTCCTTCCCTCCCTCCCCTGAAATCAAAGAAACAAAAACATCCTCTGGTGAGGATTAAAAAAAAGTGGAGGTAGAAAACATAAGAACCAATCAGAAATGAATGCAATAATTGAAATGAAGAATACATTAAGAGGGAATCAACAGTAGATTAGATGAAGCAGAGGACTGAATCAGTAATTTGAAAGATAAGGTTCAGAGAACATCCAATCAGAAAATGAAAAAAAGAATCCAAAAAAATGAGGATAGTTTAAGGGGCCTCTGTGACAACATCAGGTGTCCTAACATCCAAATCACAGGTGTAACAGAAGGAGAAGAGAGAGAGCAAGGAATTGAAATCCAATTTGAAGAAATAATGACAAAACTTTCCTAACCTGACAAAGGAAATAGATTTACAAGTCCAGGAAGTGCAGAGAGTCTGAAACAAATGAACTCAAAGAGACCCACACCAAGACATATTAAAATGCCAAATGTTAAAGATGAGAGAATCTTAAAAGCAGCAAGAGAAAAGCAGTTACCTACAAGGAAGCTTCCATAAGACTGTTCAGTGATTTTTCAACAGCATCTTTGCAGGTCAGAAGGGATTGGCATGAAATATGCAAAGTGATGAAAAGCAAGGACCAAGATTACTCTACCCAGCCAAGTTATCATTTAGAATAGGACAAATAAAGAGCTTCCCAGACAAGAAAGAGCTAAAGGAGTCTACAGTCGTCCCTCACCATTTCGCGCTTCGACTTTCACCGCTTCACTCTATCATGGTTTTCTCAAATACCATACTGTATTTTCAGAAACCATGATAGAGTAAAGCCGCGAAAGTCGAAGCGCGAAGTGGCGAGGGATGACTATAAATAAAGAATCCTACTTTGTGGAAATTCATTTGTCGTGGTAGAGTTTGGAACTGATTAACCACAATAAACGAGGGCCAACTGTATGTAAAACCATTATTATAAGAAATGTTAATGGGACTTCTTTAAGAAGAAGAGAAGATAAAAAATATGAATAATAAAATGGCAATAACTACATTTATATCAAAATTACTTTAAATGTAAATGGATTAAATGCCCCAATTAAAAGACATAGGGTGGCTGAATGGATAAGAAAACAAGACCCTTACATATATTGTGTACAAGAGTCTCACTTTAGACCAAAAGAAACACAGAGATTGAATGTAAAGGGAATGGGAAAATATATTTCATGAAACTGAAAATGAAAAAAAAAAAAGAAAAGCTGAAATAGCAAAACTTATATCAGAAAAAAACAGACTTTAAAACAAAGGCACAAGACAAAGAAGAACCCACCAATTCCACTTCTGGGTATTTATCTGAGGAAACCCAAAACACCAATTTGAAAGATATGCCTCCACATGTTCACTGCTGCATGATTTATCATAGCCAAGATATGGAAGCAACCTGCTTCTATAGGTGGTGAGTGGATATTTATAATGGAACATGACTTAGCCATAAAAAAGAATGAAATCTTGTCATCCGTAAAAACATGGATGGACCAAAGAGTATTGTGCTCAGTGAAATAAGTCAGACAGAGAAGGATAAATACCATATGATTTTACTTATATGTGGAATCTGAAGAATAAAATAAATATACAAACAAAACAGAAACAAACTCAGGAAGTGCAGAGAGTCTGAAACAAATGAACTCAAAGGGAACATTTTGATGGTTGCCATATGGGAGGGGGTTTGAGAGTATGGGTGAAAAAAGTGAAGGGATTGAGAAGTACAGATTGGTAATTACAACCTAGTCATAGGGATATAAAGCTTTGCATAGGGAATATAGTTGATAATATTATAGCCCTGGCTGGTGTGGCTTGGTTGGTTAGACTGTTGTCCCATGCATCAAAGGGTCACGGGTTTAATTCCCAGTCACGGTACATACTCAGATTGTGGGTTTGGTTCCTGGTCAGGGTGCTTACAGGAGGCAACTGATGAATGTTTTTCACATTGATGTTTCTCTTTCTCTCTCTCTTGCTCCTTTGCCCTTCCTTTCTCTCTAAAATCAGTAATAAAAAAAAGCAAACATATCCTCAGGTGATGATTAAAAAAATAATCTAATAACTATGTATGGTGTCAGATGGAGTTATTGAGGCGATCACTTTATAAATATAAATGTGTAATCACTGTGTTGTACACCTGAAACTAATATTGTATGATAACTGTAATTGGAAATTATTTTTAAAAACTGACATGCAAGAGAGATATTTTATCAGTTTTGTTCAGTAAATACTCATTGTTTACCCATTCAGTATGATCGAATTTATAGTCTGAAGATATTCATTCCTAAGAGTATTTCTTTTTTTTTATCCTCACCCGAGGACATTTTTCCATTTTTTTGTTCAGATAGAGAGGGAGAGAGAAACATCGACGTGAAAGGGACACATCGAGTGGCTGCCTCCCGCACGACCCAACCAGGGCCGGGGACAGACTGCAACCAAGGCACATGCCCTTAGTGGGAACCGAACCCAGGTCTCTCGGGACCGCAGGTCAATGCTTTAACCGCTGAGCCAAACTGGCCAGGGCTCATTCGTAAGAGTATTTCTATCAACATCCTTGTTTCTCCAGATTAGAGTCATCTTTAGCAGTTCAGTTGTGAGTAAGCTTTAATTCATAATATAAAAATTGTGTTTTACATAGACTTTTAGGTTCACATTGGTACAGAATTTATGATAAACCATCAATCCTTGTTTCAATAAAATACCAGTAGGTGTAATTTCAGTTTTATTTGTACAACCACTCTAAAGTTATGTCTGTCAGCCTGGCTGGTGTGGCTCAGTGGTTGAGCATTGACCCATGCACCAAAATGTCACCAGTTCGATTCCCAATCAGGGCACATGCCCAGGTTGTGGGCCAAATCCCCAGTGGGGGGCATGCAGGAGGTGGCCAATTGATAGTCTTTCTCTCTCATCGATGTTTCTCTTTCTTCTCCCTTTAAAAATCAATAAAGAAGAAAAAAAAAAGTTATGTCTGTCAGAGACGAGGACTTTGGTAAAGGGATATTGAAGTGAAAACTATTTTTATCTAATATAAATTATGATACATGATGTAGTTAGAATGACTGGATGAATGATTATGAGGTTCTTTTATTCAGTAATATTTATTGCTTATTATTCATTCAAAATGTCTTAATCTTGTTATATGCTTTTAAAACTTTAATTCATTGCTTATTTATGCTTTCTTTTTTTTTAATGCTCTCATTCATCGCTTTTTAGTCTGCAAAGCTCATTTTAATGTAATCTTTATTTTTAAAGATGTTTTTACAGCAATCAACCCCTGGGTTGAATTTTGGTTCTGTTCAACTTTCTTCTGGAAATTCATCTAACATCCAGCAACTCACACCTATAAATATGCAAGGCCAGGTTGTTCAGACTAACCAACTTCAAAGTGGAATGAATACTGGACACATTGGCACAACTCAGCACATGATACAACAGCAAACTTCGCAAAGTACATCAAGTCAGGTAATGTTGTCAACTACAGTGGGCTATGGAGTGTTCATTAATTGAAATATGTATTATTGCTGCAACAAAAATACAGCTCTATCTTGAATAGTACCACATGTATTAATTTAGTAGTAATAATTGGAAAGTATAGTATTGAGAGTGGTCATTATTAAAATACTTTGTTCAAAAGTGTTGTGAAACTATTGGATGTTTTCACTGTTTGACATTTAAAAATTTTTGCAATTTAAAACAAACATATAGACTATTTCTGTAGGTTAAAAAAGGTTGACTTTCAAAAGAGGCTGACCAGGAAACTTATTACCATATGTGAAGAAAAATTGTTGGGGCAGTGGTGGTTTAATCAGCATTCCAGGAAATTTTGGTAATTGATGTACATCTGTGACTGTAAATCCCAGGGCTTCAAATGAAATATATAAAAATGACTAATGTTGGTCACTCATTTGGGGCTTTTAATATAAATTATTTATGTTTATTTTATATTATCCCTGGTAAGATCATGTTCCTTTTCTAAAATTATAGCTATGGTAGAATAATTCATTTTCAGTTACTACAAGTCATTACTTTGTGGTCAGATTTCTCCCAGAGTAACATGTGCCATTTCTTTTTCTGTCATGTAGAAGCATGATGTAGAAGCATACTTCCTGATGTAAATTTTTTCAGTTATTCTGTCATTAAAATCTCCTCTTTTCCAGCAGAGTCAACAAAATGTACTGAGTGGGCACAGTCAGCAAACGTCTCTTCCTAGTCAGACGCAGAGCACTCTCCCAGCCCCACTGTATAACACTATGGTGATCTCGCAGCCGGCGGCCGGGAGCATGGTCCAGATCCCGTCTAGTATGCCACAGAACAGTACGCAGAGTGCCGCAGTCACCACCTTCACTCAGGACAGACAGATAAGGTAGCTACCATGTTTCATTAGTCATTCCAAAGTTGTAAATTAATTGATTAAACAATTTAATTTTTAAAAACATGATTTTAGTTTATTACTCCAGCCAGTTTTTTTTGTTTTTGTTTTTGTTTTAAATTGATCCCAGAAACAGGAAGGGGGAGAGAGAGAAAGAAAGAGAAAGAGAAACATCGATGTGAGAGAGAAACATTGATCTGCTGGCTCCTGCATGCGCCCCCACCAGGGATCGAACTGAAACCTGGGAATGTTCCCTGGCTGGAAATTGAACCTGCCGCTTTTGGTGTATGGGATAATACTCTAGCCAACCAAACCACACCAGCTAGGACCAGCCAGTATTCTTGAATTTGAAATAAAAATGCATGATGTAGTAGTTGTTTAAGGACTTGATATTAAAAAGGTAGCAACAAATTTTGTTTTCCTGCCCAAAATGTGCTACCAAATACTGTAGAATCCAAATTCTATAACACACTGTTATATGAGTTTTGTGACAGGCTTTGTATCACTGTGAAACTTTTATCATTTTAATACAGATACTGTTGAGTTTTCATGTAGTAACAATGGTTAGGGTATATACACTACCAGTGTTAATATATGGTATGGAATAAAAATAGGTTGCCTTTTTGAGTTTGTTTGGTACTACACTAAGAACTCAAAACATTTATCTCATTTAATTCTTATTTTTTAAAAAATTGTGTTAGGATCTTTTATTTCCTAGATAAGGAAAAAAGTGAGTTTTTAGTCATTTAATTAAGGGCCTATAACTAGTTAAGGGGGGGTGTGAAGAGGAGGTTCTGAATTCAAGTAGTAGTGTCTGATTTCAGTCCTCAAGTGCTTAAACATATACTACACTAAACTTTTGTGGGCCATTCAGGAAAGTCATCTCTGCTGTATTTTAGTGGGAATATCTAACTTAGAACAAAGATTTTGAAGAAATGCGATTTTCTTATATTGGGAAGCTTTTAACTTTAGGATCTCTATAGCCTTAAAACTTTTATTTTACATATATTTTATTTTATACTTAATTTGAACTGTAGTGCAAGTAGGCTGCTGCTTTTATGAAACAGTTTTGCTGTTGTATTAGGCCGTGTAATAGATTATGTTAAAATCCCATTAATAATTTTCAGAAAGTAAAGAAGCTAAAGGACTTCTTTTAGAAACTCAGTTCCTTCAAGTTAAAAGTCCAGCTTTTAGCTCTAACATTCTGAAATCAAGTATAATGAATGTGCTTCATAAAAATGCAGAGGACTAGTTTTAAAGCCTGAGGAAAAAGCCATTAATCTAGAATTAATTAATCTGATTAACCCATTAATCTACAACGTTGATGTGTCTTTTGGAGGACACAGTTTATCAACTATTTGTAAAATGTTTTTTGACGGGGAAAAACTTTTTGAGCAAACATTTGAGGGCCTACTAAGATGAGTATTCCGCATACTTTTCCCAAGAGAAAGATCAAACTAGCAACAGCCATAGAAAGATACACAAGTCAGTATTATTTGGTGTCATAAATCCTTTCTAGGTCTTTAGAAAGGAGGAAGTGAGCAGTTTTATGGGTTGAGGCATGCAGGTGAAAGAAGAGTGGCCAGAGGTAGCTTCATGGAGGACATGCTTGGCCTGGGTCATAAAGAGCTGGGGGGGGAGGGCGTGTGTGTGTGTGTGTGTGTGTGTGTGGCAGGGAGTCTAGGCAGAGGCAACAGTATGACAAAGCCACAGGAGTAGATTGAAGAATGTCTTTTGGGAGCTTATTTGCATGTATGCATAACCAATAGACACAACAGTACAGTGAAGGCGGTGGGGGGGGGTGCAGGAAGGAGGCTGTCAATGGGGGTAAAGAAGAGACATCTGTAATAAAAAATATTAATAATTTAAGTATTAAAAGAAAAAGAATATCTTTTGATTCCAGAGATTGATGAAGTATTCTCATCACATTTTATCAGTGAGAAGTTGGACAATTCAGATATTAATTTATTTTATAATTATAGAAAAATTAGCACTTAACACTTCTGTGACTAGGCCACTTTATAAATGTTACTTGTTTTGTTGGGCTTTTAAAATATATACATTTTTTTTTTTTTTTTTTTTTATCTTCACCCGAGGATATTTTTCCATTTTTTGTTCAGGTAGAGTAGGAGGGGGAGAGAGGAACAGAGAGAGAGAGAAACATCGACGTGAAGGGACACATCGAGTGGCTGCCACCCGCACGACTGACCAGAGCCGGGGACAAACTGCAACCGAGGTACATGCCCTTAGCAGGAACCGAACCCGGGTCTCTCGGGACCGCAGGCCGATGCTTTAACCGCTGAGCCAAACCGGCCAGGGCTAAAATATATACATTTTTAAATATGGTGTATTTTTTTTTTTTTTTGCACTAAATAATGCATTTGGTCCTGAAGCATAGAAAATCCAGTATTTTGAAGTTAGGCATGATTTCACCATAGATTTATTTTGTCTTGTGGAACATATAAATAGTAAAGCATGTGTCTGCACTTAAAAACAGTCTGCAGATAAAGTTACATCATGTACATCTGCAGCAGTCATGTGCATCTCAGTTGTTCACTATAATGGACAGTGTTGGAAACGAACTTCATCTCACAGAAAGGGCAAATGGAAATAATGTTCTTCCCTGAAGAAGCATCGCTTTTTTTTGTTATTAAAGAAAACAGAAGTAGGAAGGTGGGGAGGAAGAGAATATTCGTGAATTCTAACACAGTGATACATTTATAAATTGAGGGTATTTTTCTGTGCTGATACAATGTCATTTAGTTTTGAATTATGTTTGTAAGATACAACTAGGTTTATACCCCTTATAAACCTAGAGGGTATTTTTAATTCCCTTGTGATAACTAACTTTATTCATAATTAGCAAAGTGAACCATGTGCCACATATTTGAGAAGGTTTACATTTTTTAACTGTAAAATATACATAAAAATTACCATGTTAACCTCTTTTTTTTTTTTTTTAATTGATTTTAGAGAGAGAGGAAGGGAGAGGGAGAGATAGAAACATCGATGAGAGAGAACATTGATTGGCCACCTTCTGCATGCCCCCTTGGGGATCAGGCACATAACCTGGACAGGTGTCCTGACCGGGAATCGAACCAGGCACCTCTTGGTGCATGGGTCCACGCTCAGCCACTGAGCCACACCGGCCAGGCCATGTTAACCATTTTTAAATGTACAGTTCATTGGCATTCCATACAGTCACATCATTGGGGCCATCACCATCATCAATATCCAGAACTTTTTTCATCTTTCCAAACTGAAACTGAAACTGAGCCCATTGAACAATAACTCCCCATTCCTCCTCCTCTAGCTCCTGGAAACCACTATTCTACTTTCTAAGCACATAAGTCTATGAGTTTGACTACTCTAGATACTTCATATAAGTGAAATCATACAATATATTTCTTTTGGGATTGGTTTATTTTACTTTGCATCATGTCTTTAAAGTTTTCATGTGTCAGAATTGCGTTTATTTATTTATTTTTATAATATATTTTTATTGATTATTTAAAGAGAGAGGAAGGGAGAGAAACATCAATGTGAGAGAGACACATGGATCAGCTGCATCCTACACTCCCCACACTGGGGATCGAACCTGAAACCTGGGCATGTGCCCTGACCTGAAATTAAATTGGGATCTCTCAGTCCATGGGACAAGGCTCAATCCACTGAGCCACACCAGCTGGGCTCATTCCTTTCTGAAGCTAAATAATACTCCATTGTATTTACATGCCACATTTTGTTTATCCATTCATCCGTTGATGGACAGTTGGGTTATATCCATTGTTTGCTTATTGTGAATAATGCTGCTGTGAAATGGGCATTGTACAAACACCTGTTTGAGTCTTCCTGAGTATATACCCAGAAATGGAATTGCTGCTTCATATGGTAATTGTTTAATTTTTTGAGGAACTGTCATAAATGTTTTTCACTGTAACTGCACTGTTTTACACTTTTACATTCCCACCAGCAGTACACAGGGGTTCCAGTTTCTCTTTATCTTCACCAACAGTGGTTATTTTCTTTTCTTCTTTCTTTTTTGGATGATAGCCATCCTGGTGGGTGGGTATGAAGTGGCTTCTCGTTTTGGTTTTGATTTGCATTTCCCTAATGGTTAGTGATGTTGAGCATCTTTTCATGTGCTTATTGACCATTTGTATGTCTTTGAAGAAATATCAGACCCATTTTTAAATTTGCTTATTTGTTATTGAGTTTGTAGGATTGTTTTATATCTTCTGGTTGTTAGCCCCCCCATCAGATAATGATTTGAAAAATATTTTCTCCCATTCTGTAGGTTATCCTTTCACTGTGTTGATAGTGTACTTTGATACATAAAAGTTTTTAATTTTGATATATAATTTATCGATTTTTTTGTTATTTTCTGTGCTTTTAGTGTCTTATCCAAGAAATTATTGCTCAATCCAGTGTCATGAAACTTTCCCCAATGTTTTCTTCTAAGAGTTTTATAGTTTTAGCTCTTATGCTTAGGTGTTTAATCTATTTTTTCATTTTTATATATGGTATAACGTAAGAATCAAGCTTCATTCTTTTGTGTGTGTATATGCAACAAAAGTTCGTATTTTTCTTGTGATCATTTCATTTTGCTATATACACATTTTTGTTTTCCTGGTATCTCAAAGGGAATCTTTAAACACATGAAACAAAATTGGGACCTACAGCTTTAAAAACAGTAAATTGGTAACATCATTGGGTGTTATCTTAGAGAAGTATTCATCCATTGCCTCTTATAATGTATACTTTGTATTTCTGACTCCCCATTTCTTTTCTTCCTCTTACAGATTTTCTCAAGGTCAGCAACTTGTGACCAAATTAGTAACTGCTCCTGTAGCTTGTGGGGCGGTCATGGTACCTAGCACTATGCTTATGGGTCAGGTGGTGACTGCCTACCCTACTTTTGCTCCACAACAGCAGCAGTCACAGACATTGTCAGTCACACAGCAGCAGCAGCAGCAGCAGCAGAGTTCCCAGGAGCAGCAGCTTACATCAGTTCAGCAACCGTCTCAGGCTCAGCTGACCCAACCACCGCAGCAATTTTTACAGGTAGTTCTTCCCATGGCAAATCTGTCCCAAATCTGTTTAATTTTATATAATGAAATTAGGTGTTACATGAATACTTGTGTAAATGACCTGAAAACTCCATAGGAGCTTATTGTACAAGTTAAATTTCTATGAAGACATAGTTTGTCTTGGTTAGCTTCCCTATTCAGTCCTTCAAAGACTTTTAGCCCTGCCAGGGACATACCCAATTATCTAAACTGCTGGAGAGAATAAGTGGCTACTTTCTGCCCATATTAAGATACTGTATATAGAGCCCTGTCTGGCTAGAGTTTCTGGAATTCAAGCAAAAGGCACCTTTCTTTTGTCTCTCTTTTTTTTTTCCCCTCTAGCAGCTCATCACACTCTACAGGGCAGGGGTATTGAATGGGATTTTTAAGAATTAGTATAGGCATTATCTTAAATTATTTTTTAAGATTAAGTTTTATAATTATTTTTTTGGTTATAAACTAATATTAGAGGAGAAATACTGTGGAAGCAGTATATGTCATAGTTAAGAACTTGGACCCTAAAATCAGGCTGCCCCGGGGTTCATTTACTGCTGTACCACGTACTGTGTGTGCTCTTTGGCAGGTTACTTGCTAAACTTCAATTTCCTCATGTGTAAATCATGTACATCTGTAAATGCATGTAAATCACTGAGCATAGTATAAGGCATATTAACTAGCCGTTGTTTATGATCACAAATGGTAAACACTCACACTAACCAAAATGCAGACACACATCTCATGGGGGTATATTAGACAAGATCTACTTATATAAAGGATACAGAAAAAAGTCATCTAGGTCAGTATCCTCAGCAAGGAATTCTGGACAAATTTCTAGTATTCTCACTGGGGGTGGTACATAGTAGCAGATTGTGACATCTGAAAATCCAGTCTTTTCTCTTCTGGCCTGGGGGAGCAATTTTGAATGTAGGCTAGTCTAGATTTGTGCTAGAGACCAGTCCATGTTGGCCAGGCACAAATAATCAATTTTAGAGTTATACAATATATGATATAATGAGAAGATTTAGTATTATACTGTATACTGAGGCATTAGTACAGTGTTAATTTATCACTCTTGGATATCTGGTCCAAATATAATTCCTAACAATTGTGATGTGGAAAACTAAAACAGGTTAGTTAGCTAAATCTCTCTATCAGGTCATACATAGTCCCTTAGACTTTAAACTTATACTGCAGCCATTATGACTTGCTCACTTATTGTTATAAGTGAATTAATAATCAATTTATAGCAAGTTATAAACTATTATGGTGCTATATATATCAATGAAAATTAAGTAAAAGCTTAAAAAAGGAGAGGACTTGCCTTAAGATATCAGTCTTCTAAATCTATCAGAATGAGGGTCCTTAAAGGAATGAACCTTATCTTATCCCCCACTTCTGAAAAAAAGCATTCCAAAGACATTGGATCCCTTAAAAAGTAAGGTAGGGAATACCCTTCAGAAATGCACTCATATGTACATAGTAAATATACACCTTGGCTCTGTAATAGAATGGGGTAAAGCAATGTTACATAATCCGTTTGTTTTAGACTTCTAGGTTGCTCCATGGGAACCCTTCAACTCAGCTTATCCTCTCTGCTGCATTTCCACTACAACAGAGCACTTTCCCTCAATCACATCACCAGCAACACCAGTCTCAGCAGCAACAGCAACTGAGTCGGCACAGGACTGACACTTTGACGGATCCTTCCAAGGTTCAACCGCAGTAGCACACATGTCTCCTCTCTAACCTCAAGGGAGGAAGGGGTCGGCCCATAAAGAGTTGCTCAGATGATCTGAGGATCCGGAGGAAAAGTTCTAGCAGTTTCATAAGATGCAGTATTGAGTATTCTAATTCCTTGAATTAGTTAGCAGGGAAAATGCTGCCTAGTGCTACAGATGTACATTAAATACCAGCCAGCAGGAAATGATCACAGGGCCATAGCCAGTTCTGACAGTGTTTTAATTGCCCAGATATTTTTTGATGGAAAAAGAGTATATTGCCAAATGTTAAGAAGCTCAGCTATTAAATATGACCTCCAGTGAATCAAAAAGGCACTAACAATGTTAGTAACTTTTAGTGGTTCTGTGCCTGTTTTCAAGTGTTACAGAGGACACACCACTGCCATGATGCCATGAAGACAGTCCAGTAGACCCAGTAGGCCCTCTTCCCCCACCCCTCTCCCTTTTCAGATGATGGAATTGCAATTTCAGAATGTTGTGTGGATTCAAATTTTCTATGTACAGATGCTGTAAAAAATACTATGTATATGTCTGGATAAAAGGAAAGAAAGCAAAACATTTTGTATGCTGCATGAAAGCATTATGTCCTCCTTACAGGTATGAATACATTTCCTTAGATTCTGATGCCATGTGCAAACTAATACATCCTTTGTTTCCCCTTTTGTTTACAACACAATAGTGTTCTAGTCACTTTTCCGGGGCACAAGTCTTTGTTCATACTTGGCTGTGATGTCACAGTTTGTTCAATGAGGTATGATGTGCTGCTGGGAATGGATCTTTTTTTCAGGTTAAATGATTGAAATAACAGGATTTTCAAGTTACTCAGAAGTATCCTTCATTTCATTATTTTTCAATAATGTTTGAAATAGGATTTGCACTGCTTTATTTTAGAAGGTTGAGAGTTTTGATTACATATTTTGACATAGTTCGTAGTTGGAAATAGTTGTGTAAATGGTTTTCAACAAGCCTGAAAGTAATTTCATGAATGTTTCAGTTACAGGAGTAAAATTTGCACAGAAAACGTTTTAGGCACTTTTTAACATTCTCACTGGTGGGAATTTTAACTTTTAGGATTTGTTGGAATCTTTTTAGTAATCCTTCACAATTTCAATGCTTCTTTTAGTCAGAAATGATTCAGGGTTATTTGAGGGGGAAAAAAAACCCATAGTGCCTTGATTTTGATTCAGGTGATAACTCACCATCTTGAACTCATCATGTTCCAGTAGCAGTTCTTGAAACCTTAGTACATTTTTAATAGCATGTGGGTGTCGGTGCCGTTCTCCTGCGTTCCCGTGAAGACTGCTTTGAGTCTCTTGGACTGGAGGTATAGATAATTTAGAAATAAAAGATGACAGACTCACACTAGCAGAGTCATTAATATGATTGCAAATTATTTTCCTAAATCATCTTCCTTTAAAGCTAAGTAGTCATTGAAGAATTACCAGTAAACATTTCCTCAATATGATTCCTATAAAGAAAAAAAGAAGTGTAGGAATTTGCGTTATCTTCATTACAACACTAGCATATTGTAACTCACATGCTTTCTAAACATGAACTAAGACTTCATTTGCCAATATTATATTCCAAAGGTAATAAATTCCAACAGAAATTATATTCATAAAAAGCATTTTATATATTCTATGGTACTAAAATTAAATTTACAACTATAGAGCAAAGGAAAATATCTTACTAGAATAGCAAAAATTATTACTGTGCAAGGGAAGACAGCAAGCTGTAATAAATAAAAATTGATCTGAAAAGAAAATGTATAATAGAAATGGGGTTGTTAAACAAAGTTTTTAGCAATGAAAAGAACCTAATACAGAATTGCTAGATAAAGGAGTCAGAGGAACTCTAAGCCAGTTCTTAAGATTTTTCTGTCCTCAGCTTTGCTACTATCCTTAAGGGACATATTGTCTTTCTGTGGAAAACTGTACCTGGCCACACAAATTTGAAAATGTTCAAAATGAAAACAACCAAAGAAAGTTGGTATCTATCCTTCTGTAAAAGAAGTGTCACTAGATACCAATCAATAATTAACATATCAAGGAGCTCCTCTTCTAGCTAAATGATCATCCAGAAGAGATTTCTGACTTTCTCATGAATGTCAAGGATAGTTGTCAGAATGTGTGTGTACTTGAGCATGCAAACACAGAGACAAAATTGATGTTGTAAAATACGGCAACAGTATTAATTTTCTCCCCTTTCAAATTGCCTGTTAACCTTATCATGCCATTCCATATATATCTGAGTTGTGCCTCATTCATTCATTGGTGATATCTAGTGATATGGATTTAGCTAATAAAAGATATGAAGAACTATTATATTAAGGTTTATCCTCCAGGTACCATACTTAAAAGAAAGATGGTGGACCGTGAGTACTGTGTACTTAGATTAACAAAAGCAAAGCCTAAGACAAAGTAGATAAAACTTTGCATTTATAATTTGTTGTTCCTCACAGCTCACTTTTTTCTGCTTAGAATTGACTGCTAAACATAAAGGAGCAGCCAGCCCTTTTCCTCTGCTGTCATTAGGCGTTGTTGTGTTGGAGGAGCTAGTAAGCACCAGCTGCCTCTTAGCTCCTTGAACTGTTTTCCTCCTGCTTCTCTTGAACTTGAATGGCGAAGCTGCCCCCCCACCGCCCCATGAATGGAGACTTGAGCATTCTGAAGAAGATTCAGCAGTTGCCTGTTCATTCATTTCTGTAGCCAAAGTTGTTAAAATCCTAAGTCTAAGTCATGAAAAAACACCAAATAGGAACACCTTTTAACTACTTCAGAATCACCTTTTCTCTGCGTTACTCTCACAGCCAGTCACTTTTCTTCAAAACATTTTATTCTGGGTGGCACTTTTTAGTTCAGAAACTGTTAAAGATCAGGCAGAATGTTAGCTGTTCTGCAGTTGTTCTCTTGCTTTGGGCTGCTGTGGCACTGCGTGAGTTGGTGTTGTTTAACAACTAAAGTGAGGACTGCAAGGATTAATAGAATTGCTGCTGAGAGTGTCAAACCCGAGCCTAAGATACTCAAAAGTACTCTATTTTTTTAGTGGAAAATATTGGCAGAAAAGTGGATATAGTGGATGAGGGTAGCATTCAGTAAATACTACAGTTCAGTCTCCAAACTCTGTCTTAAGTTGAGGGAGGTAATTTGAGTCCTGTGCTCTGCTTTGTCACTTAAATCTAGTTTAGGAATGTACTAGTAATAAAAGGGTGCCAGCGACTGAATGGTTCTAGAATACCTAGTGTAGAACAGTGAAAACGGTCATTTGGATTCTTCGGAAGTGCTGTAGTTGGTCATGGCCTTAAAGCAGTCTGCTTGCAGTTAGTTAGGGCACCGAAGCAGTGCGGTTCTGTTAAGGGCGTTGTGCATTGAAGGGAGATGAACCTTGTTCAGGAAGCCTTAGGTAGGGGTCCTACAGACAGGTGAAAGTTATTTTTAACTGGATATTACTCGACGTGTTTTAAAATGTTTCCACTACATTGAGGTAAACTTTTTTAAAAAGTGGAATGCAAATAGCATTTTACTCTAGTGTTACTCATTTTTTCTATGTTTCTTTGGTGATTGAAAGTTTGTTGAACATCTGTGTTAAACTCATTCAAGTCTATAACCTTTCCAATATCTGTGACCCTGTTCGTAGCCCCTCGGGAGTCAGTGTTGGAAGGTGTAAACACTGGATATTACTATTGATGAGTGAGTCTAGCCAGGAGCAAGCCAGTTGGAATTTTTAGATGGTGGAAAAGAAACAGCACAACGGCACTTTGCCATTTTAGTAGTGATTTGAGAAAGAGAACCTTTTAAGTTTGTTTGGGTTGGGTGAGCATACTTCTAAAAGGAGCTTCTGAAGTAACTGCAAAGGAAAAGAGTCGACTATTTTTATAGCATATTTAATATATTTGTATATAAGTATGAATATAGTAGGAACCATCCTCCACATGCCTCCCACTTTTCTAATTTCCTCCCCCTTTGCCACAGCACTAGTATAGCCTCGTCCGCATGGGTAATGTGCCTCTTGTCAGCCTACCAAAAGATAGTGCTGCTGCTTTCTGAGACAGGTGAGAAGACCCAACTCTCATGCCTGGGGATCCTTTAATATAGGAATAGCACACACTTAAAACAACATACCACAGTCTAAACGCATCATTTTGAAATATAACGCACTTTATTGCAAGTATTCATTTTGATAAAGTTTATCTTAGGCATTACATTTCTAAAGGATCCCCAAATCATCACTTAGGTGAAATTTTTAAATGATACATTTCTGAGAAATGTTTAGATCCAGTGAACCATAGTAGGTTTATGGGAGTGATTTCAAGGTAACCAAATGAACTTTGACTTTTGTTTTGAATGTGGTGGAGTTGAGATTGTTGATGCTAGTTCCATTTAGACACTATTGTAAACCTATCTTGCCTATTGTGTGGACACCAAAAGAGCCTGTTTATTTTTGGAAGTCTAGGAAAATTGCGTCAGTGTGAATAGATGTATAGAACTAACCTAAAAGTGATTGTTAGTAATATTTTAGAATACAATCATTTCAAGAATTATTCTGGGTGTTTTCAATGTGCTCCGAAATGTTGGCATGTCATTTCAGCGTTCCCATTTGAATTGCTTTTGTGATACTTTTGCACATAAAGGACCGAGAAAAGGACTACTTCGGTTGAAGAAAAAAAGTATAATTTGGTCTTATTTTAATGACTTCTGTGGAAACACTGAGGATGAATTTTGTTGGTATAGTTAAAATTCAGGATATTTAAAACAGTATTCAACAGCTCACAAGAAATTAAACAAACGTGGATAAAGATTAAAACACTTTCCATGTGACTGTTTTGCATATTTCCCCTCCTTGTCATAATTTAACACTACATTCCTTGTTTTTCTTAAATAAAATAATTTGCAGGTTGTTTTGAGTATTTAACATATTTTGTAAGCTGCCTGGGTTTTCCTAAGGGAACGTCCTTTAATGAAACAGGATATAGTTTATGAAGAGAGTATTAAATGAAATTCCATCACCACCACCAGCAAACACTGAGGTGCTGCGTTAAGTGACAATCAAAATAGTGAGTATTTATGGAAGAATTTAGAAAGTGGTTTTAAAGAAGAAATTGCTTTGTAAGCAGTTCTCTGGGTTTCTTGAATAAAAATGGCTAAATGTATTTATTTATATTTTTAAATATCTGTGTTGTCTTCTTATTAGTCATTTCACAGTGTCATGTATTTAATTTGTGGTTTGTTTTGTTTTGCCTTGTAATCTTTACTAGAGAACTGGCTCTTGTATGGGGTGCAGTCTCTAGCCTTGACGACTCTGCATGGACAATGCAAATCTTTCTTCGGCAGGACAGCAGTTGGAGGGCCCAAATCCAGGTGCCTCTTTACTGCCCTCCTGTTCTCATTTAAGAAAAAAGTAAAGGTAACTCCTTTCAATTTTACTTCCTATAGTTCCAACCTCTTCCTTGTTTTACGTCCTGCCTTCTCCATTTTGGGGGCACTTTTTATATTACAGTCAAAGGCCAGTATGATAGAACCAATGGCACACATTGCCTGTTTTGCCCATTTGGGGAAAAACAGTCAGCATCTTCTAATGCCCCTTACTATCATATCCATATTAAATTCCATTTACAGTCTTTAATATAGGTGGAACAATGTATACACACAGCAAACTCTTCTACAAAAAAGGTTTGCTGTCTCTGTGGTGTAATGTTGCTTGGTCCTTTAAAAACAAAACCAAACCTCCATGCATAGCGCTGCTCAGTAAAGCAGTGTTTGAACGTTTGAAGCCTAGATTTTGAGGATACTTCTGGCTGGTATGCATTGGGACAGAATTCTCTACTTCAGGGTCCCCACAGGTCAGGTACAGGGCACCCTGTCTAGCTTTTGGGATCCCTTAGAGAATGGTAATTAAAGCAAGTTGGATTTGATATAAAGTATGTTCCTTAACTCTGAGGGTTAAATGGAAGATGTGATGGTTTCAAATATATGCTTTTAAATTTCTGAGGAAACAAACTGTGACATCGGTTTAAAATTGACATTCATATGTTTTATAACAGGTGTTTCTGAGTTGGCCTGTACTGGTACAAATGCACTGCCGGCAATGGTTGTTCCAGGACTCATGTTAAAATGTAGGAAAAACTATATTATTTTCCAATTGATGTATTATAATACTAGACAGTCATCAAGCAAAAAAAAGAAATTGGCCAGGAACTGCCCTTTACTTTTTCAATAGCTATGAACAGCCTTAGACCATTCTAGAATATTTTGAAAGCTATTTTACGGTGGCGTAAATTGGGGAAGGACTTTTGTATGGCACTTGCACATTTACTCTGTGTAATGATTGAAGCCCAATGATGAGTTAAATTCAGAGCTGTATTGAAACCAGTTAGTGCAAAAAGTCTTATCTTTGTAAATTTTTAATTGTTAACACCAGTTGGTAGCTGTAAAAACATACACCGAATTCTTTCTAATGTTCTGTGTTCTACATTGCTGTCCTTACTGCTTGGTTCTTGGTTTTAAATAAAATTTAGATGTAGCCTAATATTCTAACTTCTAACTAGCTATACATGGCTAACTGATTTTGACATAGAATACCTCTTTTTCCTCAAGTGAACACTTAGCTGAAATTCAAAATGATTTACAAAAAACAAGTATTGTCTTCAGCCCAAATCCTAAATTGCACAGAAGTACGAGGGATAATGAATGATTCAACGGTGCTATATTAGGTTCTCTGCTGATTTTCATGAGTTGTGTGTGGAAATACAATGTTGTGTAAAATGTGGATCATTTTGTTACTGATTTAATATTGCCATTTTAATTTGGTGGTACAATTGGTTACACCTGTTTTTCAAAGCTATCCTTTAAGAGGTAAAAATGTGTTCAGTCTACCTTCACTCAGGCCTCTTGCTATATGATCATTTTCCCAGGTTATGATGTGTGTGGTTTTTTAAAACTACATGTACCATTATAGTGCTCTTTCCCATACTCTTGTAATGTATTCAGAACCTAAAATTACAGCAAAAGAGCCAAGCAGTAGCACTGGGTTTTTTTTTTGTAAATGTAAAAAAATTAGTTCCAGACTTTGTTTCCTTATTCAATCTTAAAAATAAAAAATACCTCAGTGCTGTTTTCAGTATCACCTGCATTTCTCAGAAAAAATCTCCCCCAAAAAACAAAACAAAGCCAACAACACCTGCTTTATGTGGCACTTGTAAGAATTACATTATTTTGGATTTTAAAGAGAAGTGTATTCAATATTTTTAAATCACTACCAATGAAATTTTCCTTTTATTCAACAGTGGAGTCTACCTACATTAATGATTTTTACCTTGTAGCTTAGATCTGAGCTACCAAATTCAAGTTATGTCCTGTTACAAGATTATGGTGCCTCAGAAAGCTGTGCTTATTCAAACATGTTGAACTAGTCCTAGGACCAGGCTGCCTGCATTGCCAAGTTTGGACTATGATGGTACAAGCTACTTCCTAACAAGGGATTATCTTTTCTGCTCTTGGAAAAGAACGTAATTCCTCCCTTGTTCTGTTCATAATAATATGAGGCAGAATTAGGGGTATCTAACTGCAGAGAAAGATGGTGCAGTCTGGGAACTTAACCTGAAATTGCTTTGAACTGCTTTATTTTAATTCATGGACATTGTTGTTTTCTGCTCTGGAATACACACTAAAGATTTGAAACATGACTTTTTCATCAGTATGTGCCACTGCTCCTTTTAACTGACAGCTACTTTTAGATTGCTTCCCGGTGGCAGTTGGCCGTCTTTCCCACAAACTTACTATTAGAGAATGGTTGCTGCATTGACAATGCTGGGTGATTATATTATGCAAGATTAGATTCTTTCTAAATCTCTTCAAATTACAAATGTATTATCTACTGTGGACTTCTGTCGTAGCTCAGTAAACCTGAATTGCTCTGGGTCTACAAGTATACTTCACACAGGAACATTTGGGAGTTTATACAGAACTGTCCTTTAACTTTAAAGAGGCTATTATTAATTACAACGTTACTGCATATGGTAATAGAACACGTCAGGTTGGGAGAAAGCAGTTACACTGCTTGAGTGGAATAGTCAAGTTAGAATGTACTTACATGACAGTGATTACTGAAGTTCCTATGATAAAATGAGAAAGTCTTATCATAATCAATGCTTACAGGCTCTAGAATTAAACTGTCTGATTTGACTCCCTAGCCTATCATGTAACCTTGGGTGAACTCTTTTTTTAACCTTATATTGGTACCTACTACCTTGTAGAACTATGTGAGGGTTAAGTGCTTTACAACAATGCTTGGCCTGCTTTTTTACATCAACTTTAGAAACTGGTCTATAAATATTAATACTAACTTTGATGAAATAGAACATTATGAACTCACATAACACAAAAGGGAAAACAAGCACTGGTCATGCCACTTTTATTTACATTTTATCTATTACATTGTTTATTCAATATAGAAAAAATATGAATACACTCATAGTATTCTCCTTTAATTTGGTAATTCCACATTGTCAAATATTGACTCTCTTATATTGGGTTTCCTACCCAATTTTTTAAAAAAGAGGAAGGATGGCCTGGCAAACAATTCTTGTCATATTATTGATATAACAGTACAGATGTCCTTTGGTGTTTAAGGAGGACTGGTTACAGGACTCTCTCCCCAGTCCAAGGACTTTCAAGTCTCAAATAAAACGATGGAGTATTTTCATATAACCTACTCACTTCTACATTAGGTCATTTCTACATTATAATACCTCATACAATATAAATGCTATGTAAATAGTTGTTGCTATACTACATTTAGGGAATAATGACAGGCCAAGTCTGTAAATATTTAGTACAGACACAACCATCCATTGTAGGCCTAACTACAGAGTATATACATCAGCAACAATAACATTTTTTTCAAGTATTTTTGATCTGTGGTTGGTTGAATCCTAGGATGTGGAACCTGTGGAAGAGCTGGCTAATATACTTACTTCTGTTGCTCTTTTATTTATTTATTTTTTAAACCTAATTTTGAAAAGATGTAGGAGTAAGCTACTGTTACTGACTTGGAAGAATACTTTAAAAGACAGAAATTAATTCATTCTTTCCCCAGGAAAAATTCTGAAAGCACCTTGGATATCCAGGAAAAAAAAAGTATATTCCTTATAAAGTGGTCAGTGCTGAGAAAGGAAATCAAATGGTAGACCCCACTGCACAATGGTTCTGCATATACTATCCTCCCCAAAAGCCAAAAAAAAGTCCTCAAAAAGGAGACCATATTAACATAATTAATGCTGGAGAAAAGAAAAATACACACTTAGACGTCAGGTTTCTTTTAAAAATCCATGTTGCAAATAGAATCAATGATTATTTGTTTTGGACATCATAACTCATTGCTACAAAATACAGTATTTCCCATCACCTTTAGTTTCAATGTACACTATGTACATAAACACAAGAGTTACCTATCTTAAACTAAATACAGATGAATAAAGAACTTGTTAAAAACCAGAATCGGGACTTATAAATAGTGCAGAAAATGCAAACGCCAAAAATACGATGCCTCCTATGATCGTCACTGTAAGAAAAGAGAAAAAAATTAACGAAAAATAACTATAAGGAAGCCAAGATAAGATACTGCCCATTTTTCTTCCAATCTAGTAAATTAACTTTAGAAAACAAATCAGAAATGCTTAAACCTCACTTCCACAGCAAAGAACTCTTCACATGCCTAACTTTAAATAGTATGAATCAGTGTCTTCAGCACTGTTTTAAGAAATGACAGAATTATATTAAATTGAGACCATGCTGACAAGCAACAGCAGAACTAGAACGCATCTTAAAACCCAGTTATAAAAGAGCATGTCCAACAATTTCTGGCTAGCAGAGACATCTTTAGGGCCTACCAAGTACATATGAAATTTTCAGCAGAATCAGTAAATACAGTCTCTACCTTCGATTCCTAACCTTGTAAGACATGTTTTTAGGCCGAAAGTTCTCATATTTCCACATGATTAACAAAAAACTACCATGAATCCAGTAATGCTTCTAGATGAATTTGTATTTTACAACATCTACACGTATGAAAAACAGTCAATGTTTGCAATGCAATGGACCACTAAGAGATTTCATTACAAAGACCAAATCTACTTCAGAAGTAAAAACTTAAATAACTGAAACAACCTGCCCCTTTCCTTTCTAAGCTCTTGGTGATTTGAAGAGTTAAAACATATGGTATTTTCTTTGTAATTAAAAAGATAAAACAAAAAAACACAACTTACCAGTTCTGACAGAGATTTTTTGTGCTATCATTCTTCCTCCAATTACAGCCAGTCCAGTGCATAAGCAGTGTCCCACTGTCCCTCCCACAGCTACACCATAGGGGTCCTGGAAACAAGTAACATTAATTTAAAACCAGGGTTGAAATGGCTACCTGAGAAAGACAACTATTAGGCACCGAAAATGGAACTCAACAACACAAAAAAGCACAAAACCATTCTAAAAATTAGGAATATTTATGAAACGTGTAATAGCACCTGCTTGAAAGAATATGTTTTAACCATACTAGGGCTAGAGTTAAAAGTAGAAAAAACTCAAATGTGTAAGATCCAAATAACCCTAATTCAACCTCTTAGCTGTTGTTAAACTTAATTCACAAGCTTAGTGCTAAGGAGACTTAACCTAGACATTTCTTCCCTTAGGCAACATTTGTATGTGAGGAAACTAACCCTTTATTTACAGTACAGTCTGACTCTGCTTCCTAAGAACAGAGACCCTACATCCTTATTCTCCACTGTGTCCTCAGTTATAATTATCTGGATAAATATGGTAATACCAATGTAATTAAAAAGGTAGGGGAAGCAATGGAGAACGGGTTTGTGTATGATGCCAGTTCAAGTGGAACATGTCAAGGGTCAGGTGAGTTCAATGGTGAATAAACTATGGGACTGCATATAACACTGGAAGAGAATGCAGAGGAGGATGTGGACAACACAATGATGTGGAAATCAACCCTGAAGGAATGACAGAGGAAGGTGTCCTTAAAGGAGACTGAAAAGGTGGCCAGGCATGTAGCCTCCTAAGATGACCAAAGCAGGACCTGTTGATGGCTGCAGTGAACTCAAAGCACTATATCAAATGTACTGGTGAGGCCAGAAACATAGAGTTCAGTGGGTTTCCTAAGCAAAGAAGTAGAGCCAACCCCTGCTCCCATCAGTAAACCCCTTTGAGGCTGAGGGAAAAGGAGGAAGAGGAGGAAAAAAGAGTGATATTTGAAATATCACTGGATTAAATAAAATTAAATCCCTTAATACAGGATTTTTTTTTAGTCTTTGTTATTTTGTATACTCAAACAAAAAACCAGGATGTATTATTGCCAAATTTAGTTGACCCTGGAACCTCCTCAGTTTATTTTTTGACTTAAAGCCGTTAACATGTCAAAGGACACTAGGATTCTGTGACATCCAATTTGGGAACACTAAATTATGTTGGAAGCAGAAATGCATTTCAGGCTAAAATGGACTGAAGTAGACGGTATGGCATGGTTTACACAGAAAACTGACGACCCCCCTCCCCCAAAAAAGAAATGTTAAAGGAATAAAAACATAACATTTTTTCCCCTAAAGAGCTTGTAATATATATATATATCCCATGGTCCAGTAGTGTGGGAGGTGACTAACACTGCAGGCTCACTGTGTGGGGGACCCTGCATGCATTATCTTGTTTCACAGAACAACCCACAAAATAGGTCGCAGGGAGGTGCTGCGGAAATGTGGTCACATGCAAGCGACTACAGCCTGGTCGGCACGTGCCACAGCTAGAACACGGTAACTCAGATGGAATCCTGAGCCTTCCATGAGCCACTGTGCCATTCAGATGATAGTCTGAAGAAAAATGCAATGATTCTTGTCCTCACGATAGCTCATCACAGCAGGACTGCCACCTCCACAACAAAATGGCCACTCACTGTCAAGTCCTAATTTTGGGAAACTGAAAGCCAATAAAAAAGGCTAGAAATCAAGAAAATGATAGGGCAAAGCCTTAGAGTAACATTTTAAAAGAAGTTTGTTTTAAAATATGGGAATAAAATGAAAAACCAATTCTATTTTTTTCAAAATACAGCATTTTTGAAGCTTCTCTGACAAAACAGCCCTGTCCCAAGTATATTAGTCCTGGTCCTTAAACTCTTGTTTTTATATTTTAATTGCAGTGTTTATTAAGGAATCTGTTCCTTTATAATAGTTTCTAGGAGTTAAAAACAAATTCAAATCAAACTAGTTATCTAAATCCTACCATCAGATAAAAACAATGTAATTTAACAGATATAAAAACAGTATTAACCTCAGGACAAGCCTGAAAAGTAGCGAAAATTCCACAACCATACTCTCAGCTCATCTCAATGAATCTCTCTGATTAATAGACTTTTCATGTAAAACTTGATGATTACCCTCAAAATACAGATTAAAAAATTGTGAAAATCGGTATAGTTTAAGTAAGCATTTGATAACTGAACAAGATATAGTAGAAAAGGCTAAAGGACAGACTGCCTTGGCTCTAGTCCTTGTCCCTGCTACTCACTAGCATATGTCCTCAGACAACTCATCCCTTCTCTGGGCCTCAGGTTCCTTATCATCAGAGCAATGGCTAGGAAAGATGTTTTGAGGTCTGTTCTGGCTTACCATCCTAGAACTTCTTATTCTGGGGCTAAGACTTAAATTTTCTATACTCTATTTCCTGAACACAAGGAATAGAAGAACCCAAAGATACCCACTTTTATGGCTTTAGATATTTAATACCAAACTGACCTTCAATTATTTATATCAACTTATATTCTCAGCTCATATATAAAGGAAAGTTCTGAGAAAAAGCCAAGACAACTGCCACGGCATCATTTTGGCAAAACTGAAGAGGATGCAGCAAGATGAATCAAAGAAGAGCAATTAAACTGCAAATAAGAATACCACCTGACTAGAAACTGGGAGAAGGTCAGTTTTAAAGAGTAGCAGCATTACTAGCTAAAACAAATAGTCTAGCATATGAAATAATCCCTTTGCCCATCCTTATCTGTCCAGTGTCCTATGGAACAAAGGAACATGAGTTATGCTCAGTTTTAATACAGAAGCAGTCATCTCTCAACTACCACTCACTTACCTCTCTAGCTGCCAAAACAATTGTAGTTAGTTGAGAGCGATCACCCCACTCTGCTAAGAATGTTAATGTAAGAGCTTGAACAAAGATTGGTGAAATAAAATGCAGCCACTTTTTCTGAGGTATCGTGCTTGTACCCGTTTCAACATCTCCTGGTCCATTTAAGAGTTTGGTTCGTTGAAACTAAAAAAAAAAAAAAAATTACACGAATCCCAAAAGCAAACAAAACTTCACAAAATTAATTACTTTTTCTTTAAAAAGTGTTTAAATTGTACTGAATATGCCTCCAAGAAACTAAAGTTATGTGATCCCAATCTTATATTTTTGAACCACCATCTCACATAGCAGCAAATACAATATTCTCAATTCCTGCTTTCCTCCCCAACAACACAGCAAACGATACTTAATAATCATTTGCCAGCCTAGATGTGGGGGAAAAAATGTAAAATTAAAAACTACAGTTCCTGCTTTTCAGAAGTTTATAATCAATCTAATTAAGGATCTAATTAATGTGTAATTAATGTGATTACACATTAGTATTCATCCTCACCTCCTCTCTCTACCACATTCACACTAACCCAGACAGTCACATCACAGCCAGGTATAAGAATGAAAACCAAGCAAAGTAAGATATTTTTGTGTATTCCACACATCCCACAGCTGTGGTTGACCACTGAAAAACTTCTGTTTAGTGTTTTAGTTGAGTGCCTTCTTGGTCCAGATATTAACAGTGTTATGACTTACTTCTTCATCTTTTTTCTTTAATTCCGCTTGAACTTCTTCCAATTCCTCTTGACCTTCATCTGGACTCATCTTTAAGCCTTCCCGAAGCATTCGAATGCCAAAAATGGCAAATAATGCAGTTGAAACATAGTAGGTATACACCCTGGGGATGACTGTGGTGGCATAGCCAAACAAAACTGGAAGAAATGCCACAGTGTATCTGGTTAATTCGCAAGTATCACAACCAAACACACAGTTACCTTCAGAAACATAATTTACTACTATTAAAAGAATAATGGTTCACATAATATGTAATAGCCTTAAATAATTCCACTTCCTTCCCATCACCAATATTGAACCCTTAGGTCTAGCAGTGACCTAAGATAGCTTATCAAGAAATCAGTGCTCCAGCTGAAGATGGCACGTGTTCCACAGGGACCTGTCATGAGAGAATGAACTCCCTCTAGACATGTTTAGTCATTTAGGTAGAAGGTTAATTTTGATGTCCTTTAAGGATCCTGTTCTCATGTAAGTGATACTTCTTCATCACAAATCTTTAAATTACAAATTTCTATAGTAAAGAACCATAACAAGATTCTCACATGGCATAATTTAAACTCGGCTCCTTTGTAACTATTTAAAATAAATATATTTTATGAAAGAAAAAGAACTCCTTATACATATATTAACATTTACAATAAATTCAAACTTATTCAGTACCATTCTTTTCCATTGTTAAGGAAAGATGACAATTATATAAGTTATACAAAGAAACTATACTTGGAACTACATCAAGATCCCTAGTCGGGGTACATGCAGGAGCAACCAATAAATGCACAGATGGCTGGAACAGCAAATTGATGTCCAACCCTCCCTTTCAAATCAATTTTAAAAAACAAAAAACCCAAATCCTAACTGTGAAAGGCATTTACATCAGTAATATCAGTTCAGTAATTAAAATTTAAAAACTATGGCCCGGCTGGTGTGGCTCAATGGATTGAGCGTCATCCCATGGACTGAGAAGTTCCGGATCAATTCCGGATCAGGGTACGTGCCGGGGTTGTGGGCTCAATCCCCAGCAGAGGACATGCAGCCGATCAATGTTTCTCTCAGATCAATGTTTCTATCTCTATTTTCCTCTCTAAAAAAATCAATAAAAACATTTTTTTAAAAATTTAAAAACTATGAAAGGGCCAGAGGATATTTCCATATGTATAATAAATGTAATTACTCTTTACTTCATCAGCTCTTTTCATAAAATGGGTGCAACAAATTATAAATCTGCCTGAGCATCAAGTATACAACTGTATATGTAAAATAATCCCTACTTCATTATATTACAAAATTGAAAACATTTTAAAGTCATGTTTAGAAATGTACCAAACCTATGCTTATGTGCACATCTATATTTGAATTGTGTGTGTGTGTGTGTACACTGTAAGGCCAAGAAGCAAAGACATCTCAGTAACAGTAAGCCAATTCTGCACCCAGATCTTGTTTTTAACCTCTCCCCTCACATGGCATCTCATTGCTGGGTTTGCATTCTGTGCAGCTCTGCCTCATCTCCACCTTGATAAATAGTGACGTTGGGGCAAGTTACTAAAGTCATGAGCATTTTAGGGTTGAATGAGAAAGGGAGTGAGTTAGGCCCACCCTATTCATAGACCTTACAGAACACCTGTAGCAGCCATTCCCCTCTGGGGGCTGCCAGAACACATCTGTTTGGTTGTGGCTTCCCAGGGTAGGGGGGCCAGTGGGGAGTAGGAGTGGTCTGCTCGATGCAGACAATGGGGGTACATTGTCTTTTGAGAATTCAAAACCAATGATAAAATTGAATAAAGATCAAGCTGCTTTTTATTATCACCATGCACTGGCCAGTTTAAACATTGTCAGTGACAAAAATGCTCTTCTCTTCTTGGGTGGGCCCCTTTCCTCATTGCTTGATACATCACTGCTGGTTAGTTACCCCAAGATCTCACTGGAGCTATAGTCAGTAGTCATGGTTTAGGCCCTAACCCTACTGTCAGGGCCTGCTAACTCGAGATCTCGGTTTCTAATACCATTTCCCACCAAAGGGCTCCTCAGAGAAATGGCTAATTGCAAGACCAGGCAGAGAAGGTATACAAGATGAACCTGCACTATCTTGTTATACTACCAGAAAGGAGAATAAAAACAGACAATGGGAGCATGTCACAAGGACATGGGAGCCAGCTTGAAGGAAATTCAGCCACCAAATCTGGGATGATTTAAGCAACAATATAGTTAAGTAATTATAAACCACTGAAAAAAGGAATTCATGAGTTTATACCGATGATAGATAAACCAATGGAAGAGGAAGAAGAGTTTCTTCTTAGAATAGTATTGGGGCTCACTGGTAAATGCGGGTGGGGTACTAGAGTTAGAAAGCCCATTTTGCGAGTATTGAGGGAAAATTTAAATCATGTAAGGAGTCATCAATTAATGCTGAACTGGGAAACAGGGTATTTGCACTGTCTTAAAGTGTTTCCCTAAAGACTGCATATTAGTTGCAAGGGAAGAAAAAAATAAATCTTAACTGTGTGAATAACACAATGAGGGCCAGATAAGATGTTCTTACAGGGACAAACCTTAGCTATGCAGAGTTCTAGTTGAGAATGCATCATCTCAATCTAATCACAAGGAAACATCAAGCAAAAAATAAGGAATAGTCTACTAGAGGGGGAAGGGACTATTTTCTTTAAAAAATGTTACTATCCTAAAACATAAGAGACTGTGTAAACATTTCGGATGAAAAGTACTGAAAGATCCTACTACAGAGAATATTAGGTCAACTGACAAAATTAAAATATGGGTGATAGATTTAAATAATGTATCAATCTGCATATAAGATACATATTAAATTATGTGTATATAGCCCTGGCTAAGTAACTCAGTTGGTTAGAGCATCATCCCAATACCCCAAGGTTGCAGGTTTGATCCCCAGTCAGGACACATAAGAATCAACCAATGAATGCAAAAATAAGTGGGACAACATATCGATGTTTCCCTCTTGTTCCCCCTTCCTCTTTCCTCTCTAAAAAATCAATAAATTTCTTTTTTAAAATGTGTAGATGTATACTATACACATGTAAATTGTATTTACATGTACACATCTATATATACATTATGTGTGCATATATACACAATTGTATTTAGATCTAGATAAATGGATAGATAGGTCACACATGCTAAAGCAAATGGGGTAAAATGTTAACAGGTGAATCTGGATAAAAGGTATAAGTGTTCTTTGTACTACTTTGTTTTTGTAACTTTATAAATTTAAAATATTTTCCAAAAAGATTAAAAAAAATTTTTTTTTAATTTTTCCTCTACTGATTTTAGAAAGAGACAGAAACATCTATGAAAGAGAACATCAAATGGCCACCTCTTGCATGCCCCGCACTGGGGATCAGGCCCACAACCTGGGCATGGGACCTCTTGGTGCTTGGGTAGACGCTCAACCACTGAACCACACGGGTCAGGCGATTTTTAAAACTTTTTAATGAAATGTGGCAAACCTTTTTAAATGTACTAAACTTAGTTTTCCTTTTATCTTCAGATAATCTTTTAAAAAAACAAGAATTTGTGTTACTATTTACCCTTAACAATCCTATTTTTTCTGCATACTCCACAGGCAGCAGAACACTACTTGGTATTGTAACTTTGTTGCTCTTCCCCTAGTTCCCTCTATTTCCTCTTTCTTTGGAAACCTTCCTCTGACACTCAAGCACTTTTCTTCTGGGAACAATGAGATGTTATTTCTCTTTAACTGCATTAAGTCAGAACAGAGCTACAAATGTATGGTCCTCCTACATGGGCAACGTTGAAGTTCCAAGAAAAGTATTTGAAGTGAAGATACAGATCACTAATTTACAGGTAATAATTAAACTGAGAACACTCAGCATGAGAATATTAGTGTGAGAGAAAAAAGTGGCCAGAATAAAACTAGAAAATATCAATATTTATAGTACCAAGTTATTAAAAATTCTTTTTTCCCTTTATTGATTTTAGAGAGAGAGGAAGGGAGAGTGAGAGATACAAACATCGATGAGAGAGAACATCGACTGGCCGCCTCCTACATGCCAAATTCCACTGGGTATTTGGCCCACACCTGGGCATGTGCCCTGATGAGGAATCAAACTGGTGCACGGGTCAATGCTCAACCACTGAGCCACACCTGTCGGGCCCAAATTATTTTTTTAGAGAGAGTATTTATGGTACCAAATTATTATTATTATTTAGAAAGAAATTCAACCAGAGGCACATGGTATCATAGAAGTCAAGAGAATAAAAAGTTGGGAATGCCCATGAATATGGTCTGAGGGACTTATTAAAATGAAAACTGAACTCTGTAATAAGAAAAGCTGATTATCAAAGGCTTTACAACAGTGTTAGAAGCAGAAATGAGACTGCCAGTGGATAAGGAGTGAAAAGGGAGGAAGGCCTTGAGGAGGAGTGGGAATAGCAGGAATAATAAAGCTCTGAAGTAGGCAAGACTGTCATCCCTGCTGTTAGATGGCACAGAGAGGTTGGATAAATCCCCCCAGCTAAGTGAGGGGCAGAGCCTGGATACAACCCCAGGCAGCCTGTTAACCCTCTGAAGAAGCAGACAGATAGGAGATGCAGGTAAGCAATCTACAAACTCCGACTGACATACCCCCAGGGTACACAAAGACTTTAAAAGGGGATGCGGATGACTGTGAAGGACTCTTATTTCCAGAAGTTCAACTTCCATACTCTACTCTTCCCTAAATGCATCTGCCTGAAAAGATGCTTATATTATAGTTAAGGAGTCGTGCAGGTTCTCCTCTCTCACATCCCTTCTTCACAGTTGCCCTCTGCCCACTTGACAAAGATGCCTTTACCCAGCTGCCTAAGGTGCATTTCCTCATACTACAGAAAAATACTCTAGGGCACCAAAGAAGGAGTGTGAAATACTGGTGTTCTCAATCAAGGCATCATAAACCAGAGATATGGCTTTGGGTCTTTCTGTCTTATACAAGTTCTTGGCTTCAGAAATGATGGCACTGTGGTCAATGGAAATAATGGAGTAATTTCCCCTTAAAAACCATGACTTTTTCATCTCTAGCCAGTGTAAACAACAATCCATTTTCCCTAAAGCAGAGTCTTGTTATAGCAAAGAGAGCATCAGAAAGACTACTAAAGCTCAGTGTCTTATAATTTCACCCAGGTGGCACACTCATAGCTGGGTCCCATGCCAAATCTATCCATCCATCCACTTTAGAATTAGAATTCTAAAGTAGATGGTTGTCATGGGGATGCATATCATGTTTATTTAAATTCAAATACCAAGTCAAATGCTTTCTGCCAGAAAATGAGCCTGACTTAAGATGATTTACTATGGACTCACTAGAACTGCCATAGCCATTAGGTAATGTGGTAGACATTGTCCATAAATTGAATAAGCTAAATCTGCAGTTCCAAGGTTCCAGAAAAATATATTTAAAACATATGATGTGATACAATTTTTAAAATGAAATACTTTATTGGCAAAAGTACACTGAAATGAACAATATTTCAATTTTTGCAACCATTTCTAAATATATCCAATTATACAAGGTACTTCTAAGTATAAAACTAATATATATAAGAACAGTCAATTGATAAATTTCAGAAAAACCTGTTTTGGTATACTGGATAGTTTCTAATTCTCTGTTTTCAACAAAATCAACAGAAGTTAAGTTGTCAGCTGATAAATCTTTAAATACTATTTTTGATGATAGACTAGTATGTGATTTTTAGCACACAACCAAGGAGTTCCAAAGAACTGAGTGACATGGCTATAACAAAATTTCTTCTTAATTATTTATGTGAATAAAATTTCTCAGCCCTTAAGTCTATTTAAAAATAAAATAAAAGGATCAGAATTGATTCTAAACCTTGCTCCATACTAGTAATAAGTCTCCATAGACACATAAACTAATTTTAAAAATAACAGTTCTATCGCCCTGGCCCACTAGGTGGCTCAGGTGGTTGGATTATCGTCCTGTATACTAAAAGGCTGCAGGTTTGATTCCTGGTCAGGGCACACACCTGGGCTGCAGGTTCAATCCCCATCAGGGCGCATACAGGAGGCAACTGATAGATGTTTCTCTTGCTCATCAATGTTTCTCTCTCTCTCCGTCTCTCCACCCCACTACTTTCACTCTAAAATCACGTGAAGATTAGAAAAAGAAAATAGTTGTATCATCTCATTAGGAGAGGCATTTCCAACTTAAAAAAAAATGTTTAAATCTCTGATGTATTTTGCTTTAATCAACTGTGTACTAATAACTATAACTCTAGTCATAAATACTGTCAACGTTTAGAGACTTAAAGGAAATTTTCAGCATCTTTTAAAATTCATTTTATATGCATATTTTTGCTCCAAGTAAATACGACAGTGTGATCCAACAAAGATTTCCAAGTAAAACTGTGATTATTAGAGTAAAATTCTATGAGAAAAGCAAATGAAAATAAGGAAAAAGAACAATGTAAATTTCCAAATGTTAAAAAGTTTATTAATGGTTTTTTAAAGGAACAATGGTGACAGTGGCTATCAAATTGCTAGTGGCATTTAGAGTCCACTGGGTATGTTTCAAAAGAATATCACAAAGCCCTAGCCTGTATAGCTCAGCTGGTTGGGCATAGTCCTGTGTATTGAAAAGCTGAAGGTTCGATTCTCGGTCAGGGCACATGCCCAGGTTGCAGGCTTGATCCTGATCCCCGGTAGGGGGTGTACAGGAGGCAGCTAATCAAAGTTTTGCCCTCAGACAGATCCCCCCCGCTAAAAATCAATTTAAAAAACTTAAAAATATAAAAGAATACCTTACAGTTGTGTTTTAAACACTACACCAGAAATTAGAACTTTGTAGTTCATTAAACCTGAGACAAGTTTGAGTTATATATGTGATATATACTTTTTCAAAATTATTTTAGATACACAAGGAAAGGTATGAAGGCCACAGATACCACCTATTCTTTCAAACAGTACAGGTGAGAAGAGCTGTCAGACAGTAACAGCAGCTAGAGGGAGGTGGGCCGAGGGTCAGGACAGGCGAGACTTAACCCCACCTCAGCTGAGGAAATGGAAATGAACACAAAGAAGAGGTAGGGGAACTGATGGAGCCAGTTTCTGAGGAGGGAATGGGAAGAGAGGCTGCCTTCTAGTTCTCCTTGAAGCTCAGTTTCCAAACTAAAATTCTCTGATATTATTGAAACGCATTCCGAACAAGTAACTTCACCATTTACAACTCTCCCCGCTTTTCCTATAATCAAAATTTACTTTTGAAGAGAAACTTGCTGTTTAAAAATTTTTTTTTCTTTATTGATTTTAGACAGAGAAGAAGGGAGAGGGAGAGAGATAGAAACATCAATGAGAGAGAACACTGATGGCCGCCTCCTGCATGCCCCCCACTAGGGATTGGACCCACAACCTGGGCACATGCCCTGACCTGGAATTGAATCAGGGACCTCCTGATGCATAGGTCGATGCTCAACCACTGAGCCACACCAACTGGGCGAAACTTGCTATTTTTGCTGTGAAGTACAAATATGACTGTTACTAATTTCTAAAACATGAAAAGTAGTAAGATTATTTTAATCATTAAAATACTCACATATGTTTTAAAAGACGTAAATTTTAACAAGCATCCAAGCAGCCAGAAATGGAACTTACTGAAGGAAGAGGAGTTAATGACTGAGCACTTGAAATGTAAGATCTCATTTTAAAACACAGCACAACCCTGTAAGGTAGGCAGATATTATTTCCAATTTACAGATGGGGAACCTGAACTCAAAGAGGCTAAGTAACTTATCAGTATGCTAATAGACAGTATAGTCACTGACCCAAGTCTGACTCTAAAGAAGAAGCCTACTATTTTCTACCCAACTACATGGCTCAGGGTTGCTTCTGAATCAGAGACTAAATTATGTTGAATTATTTAATGGTAAATTTATTTTATCATGGTCTAATTCTTTGAAAAATTGAAGCCTATATAATAGTAACAGAAACTAAGACTCTAAGAATGTTTTACTCCTTTACTATAATGGCTAAGAATAGCTTAACAGAACACAATAAAACAAGTGACTCCTTAGTTATTGATAGTGAATGTCCTTCAACAGAATATGCAATTGTCTGTGGTTGCTTGAGTCCTACTTGTAAGATATTAGACATAAGTAATCTTTTCTGGACTGAAAAAAAAACAAGCAATAATACACAACAGAAGCTAGGATCCCAATCCAGTGGATAAGTGAGGAGTATGCATCTTGAATGAATAGCTGAACATTTAATTTTTAAAATGCAATCTAGTTTTCAGAATTTATGTACTGAATGCATTTTCTGTTTACAAAACTCTGGAACATGAACCAAATTCCAACATAATTAGTTGAATGATTCAGTGACTCAATGCCAAACACCATGCTTTTGCCTAAATCCAATAAACTTACTAGGAGGAAAAGCACACTCACCTGACAAGCACGTCATTAAGCCCAAGGCAAGCATAGCACCAGCCAACACCGTCAAACGATTATAGCGCATTGCCATAATGGCTGCTATAAAAAATGTCTTATCACCCAGTTCGGATACAATAATAACTGATATGGCAGCGACAAATGCATGGATAAATCCCAAATTAGTTTGGGTAGCTTCATCTTCTTTATGGGTATGAACTGGGACAGCTGGTGTGAGTCCTTTCTGAAATAAAAAATATATATATACATCAGCTGCTTTTTGAAAGAAGTCATTATTTACAATTATTTTATTATGCATGTGAATTAAGATTATTTTTCTGTCATGGGTATTAGATTTATTTACTGTCTAATCACTTTGAAAGCCCTTAGTAATGACAGAAACCTCTAACTGACGGTTGCTATAACACACATCCAAGTACAATTCTACAAAACAAACAAAAACAGTGTAGACCAACTATTAAAATTACCTTATTTTCTAAGAATTTGTGAGTTGAGATTAAGTTCTTAGCTTTTTATTCGTGACTTGTGTGAAAGACCAAGGTATGTTTATCAAACATTCAAATAACAAAAAGCTGAGATAAATTTCATTAACACTTTAGAGGACAGAGTAAGATTCAGAAAGCCCTCAACAGGCTAGAGCCAGAGTTGGCTCTAGCTAAGATGAGGTCTAATATAGCTGGATATATAGGGATGGTCCTACACTAAAGGCTAAAAATATCCTAAGCGATAATATGGCCTGATAGAAAAGACAAACTATTGTTTTGGTTGTCATTAGGTTATTTTAAGTTGAAAATGTGACAAAGCTCCAAAAGGGCAACAAGCACGTTAAGCACTTTAAAGAGTTAGTGACACATTCATCATTCTGTGCTGCTCATTCTTTAGCCAAAGTCCTTTACTGGTTCTGAGGCACATTTTAAGAATACCAATGGCATTCTTCTCAGAATTAGAACAAGTAATCCTAAAATTACCATGAAAGATCCTGAATAGCCAAAGAAATCTTGAAAAAGAACAAAGTGGGGATCATGCTCCTTGATATCAAACTATACTATAAAGCTACAACAATCAAAAATCAAAACACACCCTGGCCGGTTTGGCTCAGCGGTTAGAGCGTCTGCCTGAGGTCCTGAGAGACCCGGGTTCGGTTCCCGCTAAGGGCACGTACCTCGGTTGCAGTTTGTCCCCGGCCCTGGTCGGTTGTGCGGGTGGCAGCCACTCGATGTGTCCCTTCACATTGATGTTTCTCTCTCTCTCCCTCCCACTCTACCTGAACAAAAAATGGAAAAATGTCCTCGGGTGAGGATAAAAAAAAATCAAAACAGTATGGTACTGGCATATATACACACACACACATACACACACACCCAAAGGCATCGACTAGAGAGCCCAGAAATAAATCCTCACTCATATAATCAATCTATAACAAAGGAAGCAATAATATACAATGGGGTAAAGACAGTCTCTTCAATAAGTAGTTCTGGGGAAACTGGACAGATACAGGCAAAAAAACTAAATTTGACCACTTTCTTACACTATATATATAAACTCAAAATGGATTAGACTTAAAAGGAAGACCTGAAAACATAAAACTGCTAGAAGGAAACAGGCATTAAACTGACATCTGGCCCTGGCCAGTTTGGTTCAGCGGTTAGAGCATCAGCCTGTGGTCCAGAGACCTGGGTTTGGTTCCCGCTAAGGGCACGTATGTCGGTTGCAGTTTGTCCCTGGCCCTGGTTGGGTAGTTCGGGTGGCAGCCACTCGATGTGTCCCTTTCATGTCGATGTTTCTCTCTCCCCCTCACTCTGTCTGAACAAAACATGGAAAAATGTCCTCGGGGTGGGATGGAAAAAAAAAAAAAAGATAAAAAATAGTAATAAACTGACATCTGTCTTGCAATATCTTTTTGGATGTCTCCTTGGGCAAATGCAACAAAAGAAAAATAAATGGTAACTGCATCGAACTAAAAAGTTTTTCACAGCACAGGAAACCAATAAAATGAAAAGACAAACTACTGAACGAAAAAAATACAAATTAATTATACATGTGATAAGGATTTAATATGTAAAATATATTAGGAACTCCTACAGCTTAACACCAAAGAAACAAATAATTGAATTTAAAAATTGGCAAAGGGCCTGGCCAGTGTGGCTCAGTGGATTGAGCATCGTCCCACGGACTGAGAGGTCCCAGTTCAATTTCCACTCAGGGCACATTGCCTGGGTTGCAGACACGGTCCTGGAGGGTCGGGGGGGGGGGGGGCGGGGGGTGCAGGAGGCAACTGATCAGTGTTTCTCTCTCACACTGATGTTTCTATCTTACTCTCCCTTCCTCTCTCTCTCTAAAAAAAAAAATCAATAAAAACATATTTTTAAAAATGGGCAAAGGGCCTGAATAGAGATTCTTCCAAAGACAGATGACCAATAGACATATGAAAAAAAATGCTCAGCATCACCAATTATTGGGGAACTGCAAATCAAAACTACAATGAAATATCACCTCACAGCTGCCAGAATGGCATCACCAATAAATCCACAAACAACAAGTGTTGGTGAGGAGGTGGAGAAAAGAGAACCCTTATGCACTGTTGATGGGATTGTAAGTTAGTGTAGTCACTATGGAAAACAATATGGAGATTCCTCAAAAAATTAAAAATAGAACTGCCATATACTCCAGCAATTCCTCTGCTGGTATTTATCCAAAGAGAACAAAAATATTACTTCGAAAAGATATATGCACAGCTGTGTTCACTACAGTATTGTTAGTAATAGCCAAGATATGGAAGCAATCCAGATGTCTATCAATAGATGATGGATAAAAAAGATATAGTTCATGCATGTGCGCGCGTGCACACACACACACACACACACACACACAGACATAGGAATATTATTCAGCAATAAAAATGAAATAGTGTCATTTGTGACTGGATGGACAACATAAATGAAGCAAGTCAGACAAATATTGTATGATTTCACTTACTTGTGGAATCTAAAAACAAAACAAATGAATAAACAAAACGGAACAGAAAACAGATCCATAGTTTGAGAATAAGCTGATGGCTGCCAAAGAGAGAGGATAATAAAATTATATCTAGAGAGAGGGGGAGAGAGAAAACCAATTCCTTGTAGGCTGTAAATGTCTTCAGATAGGTCTAACCAGAAAGTGCTCTGCACTTACTCATTCACTACCCAGAAATATAAAGGAGTTAACAACTGTGGGGCAATCTCTGACCAATTAGGGCAGTCAGTTCTGAAGTTCATTTCATAAGGTTCCTTCAAAGTCCCTGCAGAATTCAATACTAGTCACTCATGCAATGGCATAAGGTTCCTTCAAAGTCCCTGCAGAATTCAATACTAGTCACTCATGCAATGGCTAACTTGAAAATGCATTGGGGTACATGCATTTACCTCCTTCCCTGAAGTGACAATTTGAAAGAATATGGCATGTTCTGAGAACAGGAAGTAAACCATCAGATGCATGATTGGGGTAACATAAGATAAACAGAGCCCAGACTAAAAACCCTGTATAGCTATGGCCCACTTTAAAGGCAAACAAGAAGCCCTTAAAAGTTTTTAAGGAGAAGACACAAACACGATTTAGGCACTATGACTAATACATCAGGGCTAAAAGAAAATACCAGTCCCTGGACCAATTAATTAGGAGGTCAGTTGCAAAGACCAACGTTAATAGAAAAGGAAAAAAATTCTGGAAATGATGGAAAGGAAAATCAACAGAACTTTAAATAGAGGGGAGAATCAAAGATGATGGTTAAGGTTTTCTACCTGACTAAGAGAAATACTAGTATTCCTACAAGGTATATGGGAAAGAAAAATAAAAATAAGGGGATTGGTTTCAGACATGTTCAATTTGAGGTGATAAAAGCATTTCAAATTAAGGTTTCCAAGAGGTCATACAAATGGGACTCTTGTGTTTTGGCCAGCACAGCCTGACGGAACGTATCTGGATGCTGGGAGCCTAAATTTATCAGCTAGAGCTTTGCAAGTAGATGAAATTTCCACAGGAAAAGGCAGAGATTGAGTTGAAAAATATGAACTTTAGGGAAAAGGATGGAGGTGGGTAAAAAAAGAGAGAAAACAAAGATTGTCTTAGATATTTAGAAAGTCAGGCAAGAGAGTACCACAGATGGTCAAGATAGGGGCAAACACCATTCACTCACCTACTATCTAGATGCCAGGTATTTTCATATACATTGTTTTATAAGAGCTGATATCCCAACTTAACACAAGAGGAGAAGCTGAGGACCAATAGCGTTAAATAATTCTCCCAAGTTCACACAGCAAAGATGGAGTCCAACTCTTCTAAAACTAGAGAGGTTAACAGTGTCAAATGAGAACTGAAAGAGAGCCCTGGATTTAGCAATTAGGTAAGTTATAGGTATCTTTCAAAAATAAAATTTCAATAAAAAGACAGGGGCTCGGCCCTGTCTGGGTGGCTCAGACAGTTGGAGCATCATCCTGTACATCAAAAAGTTGTGGGTTTGGCCCTGGCCTGTTTGGCTCAGCGGTTAGAGTGTCAGCCCGCTGACTGAAGAGTCCTGGGTTCGATTACTGGTCAAGGGCATGTACCTCAGTTGCGGGTTCAATCCCCACCCCTGGACATGGTCATGTGGGAGGCAGCCAATTGACATGTCTTTCTCACATCAATGTTTATCTCTCTCTCTCTCTCCTTCCCTCCCATTCTATCTGAGAAATCAATGGAAAAATATCCTCGAGCGAGGATTAAAAAAAAAAAAAAAGTCAAAAGGTTTATACGGGAGGCAACTGCCTGATGTTTCTCTCTTTGCCTTTCTTTCTCTAAAATCAGTAAAAACATATCCTCAGGTGAAGATTAAAAAAAAAAAAAAAAAGACAGGGACTTAAGCCAGATAATGAAAGACTAAAGCAAAGTGAAAAGCAACTAATTTCCTAGATAGAAATTTGGTTTATAAAACTGAAGAACAGACACTACAGGCATACCTCAGAGATATTGCGGATTCAGTTCCAGACTACCACAATAAAGTGAGCCTTGCAATAAAGCAAGTCGTAATCTTTCTGTTGGTAGGGGGTCTTACCTTGAAATTTATCAAGAACGCAACACCTGTGAAGCACAACAAAGCGAAGTGCAATGAACTAAAGTATGCTTAAAATGCAGTCAAGAAGAGCTTAATGGCCTGTTTTCTTTCTCCAAATGGGAAAGAACCTGGTTGTGTGTGTGTAGACAGATAGAAAAGAACCAATGAAAAAGAGAAAATATAGATATTGGGGAAGAAAAATACTGGAGGTCAGAGAATAGGCACATGGACATAGAGAAGAGGTATGGAAAGGATGATAGTTTTCTCCAGTACCTAAAAAAAGGCAGAAGGTATGGGCAGAGAAGCAAATATTTAGATGTGTACAAGAGGGTCAGATGTGGTGACTATTAATTCCAATTTTGATATGCTACTATTCAATTGCTGTGTAATAAAGTAGTAAGTAATAAAATACAGTGTTTTCCTTGGTACAAATACCACTATTTCATTATTTTAACTTGGGTCTGAAATCCAAATTATTACATTTTAAAGAGTCAACAAATTATACTTTTAATAAAAACCTGAATAACTCTTAATCAAAGTTAACATTAGTTCCAAACTGAAAAATCTTAAAAAGAAAAAAAAAAAGTACACTTATTTAGAAAGTATTCTTTTACACTTTCATGATCTTCAAAGGAAGAAAATGACAGTCAACCATGAAATATAATTCCTATTCTAGTTCTAGAGTTCAAATGAATACATATGTTTGACTACTGAAATCGATACAGATACCTGTATCAGAATCTTCACCTACACATGATGAAACTAGGGGAGATGAAGATGCCTTCTTTAAAAAAAGACTGATGTCCCAGCAAAAAAACCAAAAAGTTGCTCAACAAAAGTTTTTAATGGATTTATTAATTTAAATATTTGAATGGTATTAAATGTTTCATTGATTTTGTTTTAAGGATTTGTTTTGATGGTAGAACACCAAGCAGTGAATCCAGTAACATAATTTTCACTTCATTCTGACACAGTAATCCTGAGCAAGACAAGAGTCCTCACACCTGATGGCCTCAATCTTACCTATGAAGAGGCTAGAACTGGGAGGTTGGACTGGATGAAGCAGAACTATGGAAGGCCTTCTCACAGTTAAAAGATAATAAATAAAAGAAATGCCAAGAAACAGAAAATATCAAGAATTTGTACTGGGTCAGTTAATGGGCTTTGTGGATTTATGAACAGTGATACTTAACCAGAGTTCTTGGGACTTCCAAAATATGCAGCAAATTAAAAATTATCTTTATTAAATCTGCTTTCCCTCAACTAAAAGGACTTAATGCTTCTTATATTACATACTCAGCCCAGGAAAGAAATAAGAAAAGTAAGAAAAAACTAAGTCACTAGAAGCATTAACTGCATAAATGAAAGAATACAAATGATTAACAGTACTTTTTTTCATGTGTTTGTAATTTGGGGTTTAACTGTAAGTTCAGAGTGAACTTCAACTTTTTTTATCTGATCGCAGAGAGAAAAAAATACAGCAAAGTAGAAAGCTGTGAGAAATTCAGATATTTTGCTTCAAAGCACCCTGTAAGATATAACTACATTTTAATAATACATCTTACACTTGAATGCCTACCAATAAAGGAGAGAATTTCCCCCCTCCATTTTCAGAAATCCACTCTCACAGTGGCATGAAAAGTTAAAGTTTAAAAAGCCTATTCTTTAAAAATATGTCTTCCAACATGCTATATAGTACTGTAAGTAGAGGAAAAAAAAAATAGTTGAGCCATATAAAAAAATTACATGAAAATATAATTAGAACCGGATTCTATTACAATATAGAAATTAGAATAAATTCCTATAGAAAAAGAACCATCAAGAATATATAAAAATATTAAAGACGAAAATCATATATTGTGCCTACCCCTTCTCTCCAACCCCCAATTTTAAAGACAAGGATCTTTAAGACCACTTAAATATGGTCATTAGATACTGTTGACTATTTTACATGGCTAGATTTTTTTTCCTAGTTGTCTAAAGGGTATTATTTTATATCTCAAGAATCACTGTATGACTAAAACCTTAATGAAAGGCCTGGAAAGTTACATTCAAAATAGCGCTCCCTCACTCACTAAGTTAACCCAAAATAGTTATTGTTTGGAAAAAAATTCCGAACTTCTGAGTTAAATGACAGGAGGCTAAATGATAAACTCTTAAGAATAAATATGAATCAGCATTTCAGTTCAATTTCAGAACTGGAAATGGCAAGCAGGGTCAGCTAAGCCGAGGAGTGACAAGCAAGAGAGATATCACTTTAACCAAGTAAGGAAGTCTTCACAGAGGTATCTGCTGGTTCTCAGAAGGTGGCAAGTTTCTGACCAGTGGGCTTCAAGCTTACTGAAGCCTTTTTAAGGAGACCTTTTGTTGGAGAGACTAGCCACCGAGCACATGGCAAGATCTCATGTTTGAGTAAAGCACGTGAGCAAGGAGCGGTGACTAAAAAGCCTGGACGTTGAATGGAGCCAGATGAGAAAGAAACCTGCACATCCTGCTGAAGAGGCAGGACTGAAAGCAGTAGGCACGGGGAACTCTGAAGATTTCTAAGTAAAATAGAATTCAAAGTTTAGGAAGGTTCACTGGATGGGGACAGGCTGGAGTGAAAGTGGAGGGGTATGGGGTTTGAGCGCCAAACCGTCCCCTACTAGGTCAGAATTCAGGAATCCAAACTGGAAATGAGAAAGTCCAGGACTGGTAGACAGAAGAAACTCAAAAGCGCTGCCAAGATTTTGAATACAAGTGACTAAGTGGTTCTATTAACATAAATTAAGACATTAATTAATACCTACTTAGGGAAGGCCAAAGGATAATTCTGGTACACTTATATGTTTAGTTCTGGCATCCCACACCGCCGCACCACTCCACTACTGCCAAAGACTGATTATTCCTCTGCGTTTTTAAGGGCTATTTCCCACAAGCAAAAAGTTTTTCAAAAGTAAGAGTCATACTTCATAATCCATGTACATTTGGCAACAAACAAAAACACAAGCCGTGCAAAGCTGAATGTGGGTCAACAGTTCGGGATAAGCTGTTTCAACAATGAAAAGCCCGACGCTGTTATCCTCAGAGAATAGAGAAGCCTCCCCGCTGCCCTCTCTGCTCGACTTCCTGCTTGGGGTGAGTGTTCCCAGCTCTCCAGAACACATCAGATCCACAAGACTCCCGTTCCGCAGCAGCATCTTCGTCCTCCGGAACCAAAGGATCCCAGGGGGCTCCTTCCCCGCCCCCCCGCCCCAGGAGCCGGGCGAGGCCAGGCCTGACCTCCGCCGTCTTCCACCCCCCGGAGCCAGGCCGGCTCCCCTCCCCCGCCTGCAGCCCCAGGCCGAGGGCGGAGCTCCGGCGGCCGCGAGCCTGGTACCCGGCGCAGCCTCGCCCGCCCCGGCCCGTCAAGCTCACCTCGGCCCGCGCAGGCTCCGGACCCTGCACGGCTACGGGCTGGGGCTGCAGCTGCTGAGCAGGCGCCGGCGGTTCCTTGTTCCGGTGGCTCAGGTCTTCGTCGGGGACAGCCCGGACCCCGGCCGGGGTCCACAGCAGCAGAAAAAGCAGGAACAGATGCAGCCGGGGCGCAGAGGCGCTTCCGCTACCCGGGGCCGCCGCCATCCCGCCCACCGAGACGGCCGCCGCGGGAGGAAGTGTGGGCGACGGGAAGCCGCGACCCGAGCCACTGCGCGGCGCCGCCCCTCAGGCCTCGCCGCCGCCGCCTAGTGAGGAGTCGGCACCATGCGGGAGGTGGCAGTGGCGGGCGTGAGGCTGGAGGCAGGCCCGCGTCCACGGCCGCTCGCTCGGATCTCCCCTTTCCCGCGAGGGCCACAAGACTCCAACCGCCTCAGTGCGCCTCGGCCCTGTTCCTCCGGACCCCGCCCCTGCCCGAGACGGCCTCCCATTGGCCCGGCGTCCGCCTCGGCGTCGTGACGTCCTCGGGCAGGTTGAGGCGCGGCTCGCGCCTTCTTCCCATTGGACCCGGCGCTCCCGGCAGGTACCATCGCCACGTTACCTTCCTCTCCTCGCATCCTTCTGGCGCCCAACCTGACTCCCTTCCACCGTCCGTGCCCACCGCCCCAGGACTGCGCGGCTCGTTACTTCTGCTCCCTCCTGAGTCTTCTGCCCTAACATCCAGGCCAGCCTTCCCTTTCTCTTAACCTTTCCTAGATGTCAAATTAGTTCCAGAGCCTTGGTTACGTGGCACTTGCTGCGAGAACCGCCCCACCTAGCCCGGTTCCGCACTCCCGCACCGATTCTCGGTGTCGCCTCGGACTGGCCGATCTACTGAGGACAAGGTTCTCAGAGCGCCAAAATGCGATTGTTCAAAACAAACCTCTGAAATAGGATTTCAGTTTAACAGACGAATTTTTCGAAGCCTTGTTTTAGATACTGTTTGCCAGCAATCACCCTTAGACCCAAAACGCCTAACATTGCCCTTGTCCTCAACGCCTTTCCGTTGTGGAAGCTTTGCGTTGCACCTATTTTAGACTGGCCTCTTAAAATGTTTGGCTTTTGAAATAGATTGTTTAGGATATTTGAAGGATGAAGATTAAGGTGGACAAGAGTAGAAAACAGGAAAGGGTGGTTGGTTGGGCTTAAGAATATTTTTACATTTTATATTTTTAAAAGTTGAATTGCGTAGTTATCAAAAGTGTCACTAAGATAGTGCTAACCATGTGCCAGTAACTCTTCTAAATACTTTACATATGTTAACCTTGTGCTTTGTGAAGAGCTGAGGAAGGTTATCAGTAAATACTGGAACAAGAAATGAATCCACCAAAACTGGCATAGTGGACAAAGGTACTTTGAGTTCATTGAAGAACCATGCTATATCATGGGTTAGTAAAGCTTTGTCCATGCTGTTCTTCCTGTCTGTAATTAACTTCCCCCATTCTATCACCGTAAACTACTCATACTTCCAAAACCTGTTCAGGCCTGACCTCAGAAGTCTTCCGGTAATACCTCTTCTTGCAGAATTCTTCACTCCTTGCTTCCTGCTATGCATGCTTCTATTATTGTGTAACCAGGATGCCTCTTAACACAGTTTGGGGTACAACTGTTATGCCTCCCATTTTATCTCTAGACTACAAATGTTTGAGCCCTCACAAACCAGTAATAGAAAACCCAGAAGTCCAAACTATCCTCCCTTTAACTCCATCTCCTTTATGCATACAGGATTCACTGTGCTTAAGAGGTGTATCTAAAGAGACTAGTAGATCAGTTTCATGACTGAGGCTGAAGGGTAAATGTGGCAAAATTGGCCATGTGTCCCTAATTCCTGGAAGGTGCTTGGCGACTTTTCTGGGGGTGGGCCACCCACACCTTGAGCTCTCTCACAGGAAGTGCTCCTGGCCAAATTCCCAGTCACCTCAGCAGATGAGGCAGCAGGAACCTAGGATTACAGAGAGGGAGTTGGAGGGAGGACAGTCTGGGTTCTCTATAACTGGTCTGTGAGGGCTCAAACTTTTGCACTGTAGAGATGAACTGGGAGGCACAATAGTGGTACTCCAAACTTTGTAAGAGACATCCTGTTTACTTCCACAATAGGTTGCCTATGCCTTGGCTAGCTGTGTGAGGTGGCTCAGGGGCAAGGCAGCAAGGCTGCTTAATAGAATATGCAAACAGACATAAAGCATTGTACCCATGGGGAACCCACCCAGTGCAGTCAATGCAAGGTCAAGAGTCTGGGTCAGAGTGGGGCCTTTTCAGCCTGTCCCCATGTCACCCTGATTGATTCAAGGGCCCTCGGGTTCTGCCAGTCAAGGCTCCAGGTGTCAGATTCCAAAATGATCAGCTCTTTCTGTGCTCAGAAGTGCTAAACCAGGGCTGGTTCTAGCTTTCACTATCTTGAGGATTTAAAGCCATCATTGTTCTATTCTTCCCTGTTGACTAACTCCTTTTAAAAGACAAAAACAACAAGAAAACCCACAAAGAAAAAACAAAACACACACACACACACACACACACACACACACACACACAAACCCCATAGATATGTCCTGTTACCTTTCTTGATGAACAATTTGATCTACTTACTTGACCCCCACCCAATAAGGATATGGGAGGCTCTACAGTTCCAAGGTGAATTTTTCTTTCTTTTTTTTTTTTTTTTGTCCTGGCCTACATAGATACAGTCTCACTAAAATGTAACCACTTACAGGCACGCTTCTGGTAAGAAACCCTACTACATATGGATTACATTGTATTTTAATGTTTTTTATTCCTACCTCCTGACTGAGTTTTAAACTTCTGGATAGTAAGATTATGTCTTTAAGCTTCATATCCCTAGCACCTAGCAGATTTCCTAACATGGCAATAGCGATAGCCATTATTACAGTGGTACTAGTAGCAGTAATTCTTTACTGAGTGCCTGTGCTGACTGATCCAGGCAGTGCCCTGAATGTGTTACATGAATGATCTCACAAGGTCAGGTAAATTTCCCAAAATTACAGTTAGTAAATGGCAGAACTGCACTTGATATCTGTTTGTTGAATTTAACTGTGCCCTACTTAACTGAAAATCCAAATATTTAAAACCAGCCAATTAATGGTGAATGCTTTCATTATCTATTAGAGGAGAAAGCCCTTTATGCTTCCATGAGGAGGATTGTTTTCTTGCCTCTCCCAGAGCCTTAACCATTTCGCCTCTGATGATGTAAAGAAAAGCTGGGCGGAGTAACTGAGCATACTGGGCTCCTTTTTCCTCTTAGGAGGTGCAGCCACAGGGAAAAACAGTTTCTGCTGCTCTCTCTGAGGGCTGTCTGCTCCCAGCCCAGTGCTGTTTGCAACTGGGTGAGGGCAGCTCTTAATTTTGGAATTCAGTATTAGTCCAGCACCCCTGGCTACTGTACTCTCTCACTATTTTCCTCCCCAACTTTTCAGGAGAGAAGAGGCAAGCTTCTTAGAGGTCTCTCCCTGCACCCCCCCTCAATCATCAAAAGGTGGATTAAAGCTTTTTACTTTACACAGTCCACAAGAGTAAAGGCTGGTTAGAGAAGCCAGGGCAGGGAGTGATGAGAAAGGAGAAGGGGAAGCAGAAACCAGAAACTTCACACTAAGAGCCAACTGAAGGTCATTTATAATTAAAGAGAAGGCACTTGGCAAATCAAAGTGTAAGTTAATGACAAATAGCAATTTACAATTTGCTTGACCTTCTCAACTCTAAAGCACTTCTACTATGTGCACTCAAGCATACCACTACCCATAGGCACATTAAAACCCTTAGATGATGGGGACCTGGCTCCTTGTAGGGGACCTCTGCTGGTCCAGGAGAAAGGGAGAACTCCCCTTTCAGGACCATTCTTAGACTTTTCTAGGTTTCCACAGTGCACAGGAAATTAAAAAAGGAATGCTAAGTACGTGCTCTAAGAATTCTCATTTGTCCAGCTGTTAGCTTGCCATCTCCATCTGGATATCTCACGGGCATTTCAAAGAAAGTTTGGGCAAAATAGGTCTCTGATATCTCTCCAAAAACTTGTTCCTTCCTTAGGCTTCCCATTTCAGTAAATAGAATCAGCATCCTCCTATTAGATTCCTCTTATTTCCTCCTACCCCACTTCCAATCCACCAGTAAGTTCTATTGGCTCAACCTCTATTACAGATCCTGATTCTGCTCACCTCTCTCTATCTGTACTGTTACCACCTTATCCGATCTAGGTGTCATTTCTCACCTGGACTATTAAAATAGACTCCTGAGTGTTCTCCCTGCTTCCACTCTTATCAATCTATAATCCAGCCAACAGCCAGGGTGGGTTTTCAAAATTAAAGTCATTCATTTTATTCTCCTGCTTAACATTATCTAAGGGCTTCTAAATGCCCTTAGAATAAAGTCCAAAGTCCCTATCTCTGAATTAAAGTTCTGTGTGATCTAACCCCCACCTTATGTGTGACTTCATCTTTTGCTGTTCTCTACCTCATGTGCCATGCCCAACCAACGTTGTTTTCTCCTCAGGACCTTTGTACTTGCTGTTTCTCTTAGAACACTCCTTTTCCATGTCTTCTTCTGATTGTTTAGGGTAAATATCACCTCCTCAAGAGAGATCTCTCTCTGCCCATCCGTCTAAAGTGGACCCCTCCCCTCACCCTGTGGCTCTCTATCTCACCTTTTCTTAAAGTTGTTTTTTAAAGCTTTTTTTCTTAGCACTTATCACTATCTGAAATTATCTTGATCACGTAATTGTTTGTTTATTATCTGTATCCCTCAACTGTAATGTAAGCTCAATCAGGGCAGAACTATTATGTGTATTGCTCACCACATTCCCAAGGTCTAAAACAGTGCCTAGCCATGGAAAATACTCAGATATGAATGAATCATCAGTTTAATAACATTTTGGGAATTAAAAAACAAATGAGTTTTTTCCCCCTTTGCTTAATCCCTTCACCTTTTTCACCCAGCTCCCAACCCCTTTCCCCTCTGAAAGTTGTCAGACTGTTCTTTGTATCTGTGAGTCTGCTTCTATTTTGTTTGTTAGTTTATTTTATTCATTAGATTCCACATATAAGTGAAACCATATGGTATTTGTCTTTCTCCGACTGGCCTATTTCACTTAGCATAATACTCTCCAGGTCCAACTATGCTGTCGCAAAATGTAAGATTTCCTTCTCTTTTACAGCCATGTGGTATTCCATTGTATAAATGTACCACCGCTTTTTTATCCACTCATCTACTGAT